TGGCCCAGTCCCCAAGTCTCCACAACTAAGAGTCCATCCCACCAAGTAGACATCAAGTAAGTCGTTTTAATAGTTTCTGCCATAATTGCATATGCTCTGCTCCAGCTGTTCCTTAGTGTTAGCTGTGCTTGGCTTCAGTGAAAGTAGCTCCTCTCTCCTCCCTAGTGGCCTTTAATGAAAGAGCAGTATATCTGTGTATGTGGGGGTGTTGGGGGGAGGGAGGATAGAAGATGAAGGGGAGAATTAATGTTTCTCCTTTAGGTTTGCTGCTTCTACTTGAGGTAGGATATAGACAGTCAACCTGAATTAATTTGATGGGCTTTGCGATGACAAAGGATAATGGAGGGTTTGGGCTTACTTAAATCAGAGGTTTAGAATGGCTTAATATAGCTTAGGAGATGACAGAATCGCTCTGTTCTCAGAGGTCTGGGATGTAATGACACTCAAGGACAATGAAAGCAGGCTAAAACAATAGCACCCTATGCGACCCAAATACAGCGTTGGAAAAGTAGGTCTAGTTATCATCCTGGGCTTATATTCTTTTTGTTTCCATTTCTCCTTCTCTAATTATCTGGCCTTACCAAACTTGGACTGCGTTCTTATGATTCTAACAGTATAGAGAAAAACAAGACCTCCCGAAAAGTCCAACAGTGCCAGCATATAAAAGCTCCAGAACTTCCTGGAGTCTACCAGGTATAGCTTGATGCCTACAGCTGGGTTTTCTGCTTCAGCACGAAAGGCATCACATCCATGCAGCAGGTGCAGGGCTGCAGTCCTGGCCCACAACCTGGGCAGCTGATCAAAGATAATTGTCATGGAGGGCAAAGTACATTTCCTATGAAACAAAAAAAATGGAGGGGGTAGAGAGTTGAGTGAGATGGGGAGAATGAAAGGGGTAACATTGATCAAGAGGCACTGTACCTACACATTGACACGTTGAATGGCAACTCCTTTGCACAAAAAGATAACACCAATCAAATAAATGGTGTTGATGAGCATGACTCTTTAAATTCCTTTCAGATTTTCAGGCACAACATTTAATGCATAATCTGCATTCTTTGTTAGAGTGTTTCCAGTGATATCATAGATTTTCCACAGTTGAGTATCCACAGACAAGCAGATGGGGTGAATGTTCTCTTCATCATAAAATCTACTTTAGTTCAATGCTACATCCATATTGCTGTGGATGTAGGAAGATATGAAATGTGTTTCATCAGGCAGATCCTTTGGTTTAGAACATGCTTGTAGGAGTTTACTCTGAAGAGATCAGGCAACAGATAAGTATATTAATTTGCTGAAGGATTTTTACTAAATATTGTCCTGAGTTTACAGCATGGTCCTGGATTCTTAATAGTTACATCACTTTGTGCCTATCATTCTCTGCATTATCTATAGAAAAGACTGATAATTATCCTTATTTCATAGAGCTTATATATTATTACCAGAAATGAATATCTAAAAGTACTTAAGATAGTATCTGATATAATGTATTTGTTTTTAATAATATGACACATTTGAAATATCCTACATACTCATTTCATTCAAAGAAAAGGGATTATGTTTAGGGGAAAAATCAAATAGGCTGCATAATAATGTTGCTAAGCCTCAGTGCTGAATGGTTTTATATCAAGGATTGTTTTGGATGATAGAACTTCTTGAGTATGGCTATTTTCTCAATTTTCTACAAAAGACATGTCTAGTATAAATGAAAGTTGCCTCTTTAACTGCTTTGTTAAGTGGCAGCTCCTTTGTACAACTACTTAAAAATAATTTTTAAAAGTTGCCTTTTAAAAGGGTCAAAACCCCTGAATGGTAATGGTAATCACATTTAACATTGATTCAGAGCTTATGATGGATCAGATGATTTTCTCCATTTTATATCCTATACATATTAACTGATCATCCTATAAGGTGGTATAATAACTTTATAAACCTATGAAGTGGCTACTGTGATTTTTATCTCCACTTAACAGATAAAGAAAATAAGGCACTAAATTGTCTGATGTCTTCCCCTGGCTAAGTAAAGGTAGGACTCAGGTTCTTCATTCTTAGGTTAGGTGTTCTTTGTATGATTCTACAATATTAAAGAACCTCACTGATCTATGGTAACTACAATAAAGTCTGATTGTATATGCTGCTTAAAGGCAATAAACAAAGGCTCTCTTCTTCATTCTATCTCTGCTAGTAGCTAATAAATAGTGAGTTTTCAGGTTTCCAGTCTTTGCCTAATAAATTGGGATAGTATATCAAGTGATCAATTAAAAGCAACTTTATGAGTGAGGCACATTGATGTAAGTTTGGGCTACTTGAGAGACTGATGTAGGAAGATCATTTTAGCCCAAGAGTTCAAGGCCAAACTGGGCAACGTAGCAAGACCTTGACTCAAAATCAAAATGAAATTAGCTTTTCTGAAATGTATCTTCTATAAAAAGCTCATTAATTTTTTTCCATTGTATTCACCAAGTTGGAAATTGTTTATCCTTCCTAAAATCATAAACGGAAGTAGTTGTGGAGCAGCATAGGTATGTTTTCACTAACATATCATTTAGACAGTTCTGAATACAGCTTCCTGGCACCCCCTGAGTATGTTTTCTAATCCTTTTAAGATGTGCAGAATATAGAAAAGCACTGAGACCAAGAGACCTCCGGCTCTGCACATACATAAAAGTCAATATATTGAGTTCCAGTTGCAATAAAATAGAGAACAAAGTTACCCTTTTGGTTTAGCAAATGTAATTACCACAGAACAAAGCATCCTGGGAGTAAAGTGGATCTTCAGCAATTTTCCATTTCTGTTGTAGAATTTTTATTTGTATGCAGACAACCTTTTATGAAAATTATATACTTGCAAGTAATAATTTTACCTTAGAAATGAATATCTTAACCTGGATGGGCTATAACCAAATCATCTATTTTGAAAAATCATCTTCCTTTATCTTTTAATAATCTGCCTGTTAATTTGCTGACAGCGTTAGTCAAAAATAGTGTGTTGCTGAATTAAAAAATCAGGCTTGAATCCTTGAGATTGTAAAATATTACAATCCAAAGAGTACATTACTCAGAAGCAACTAATTAACTTCCAGAAGCTATTGGAGTTCATTACATATTTAGACAAATTCTCTGAAGTCCAGAAGGTCTGGTTCTTGATAAATTACCTCCCTAATCTTCCCTGAATTCAGCTGGGAACTGAAGTTCACAGCTGTAAACTGAACAAGAGACTCCACCCCTCCCCACCCCACCACCCTGCTCTCTGACTTTCCATGCACAGTCCTACTTCTCCTCTAGCAGAACTAATGAAAGCTACATAGAGAGGATCCGTATGCCAGTGTACCAAAGTCTCTTAGGGAAATGGCAAGGTATAGTCTGTCTAGGAATCTCTCAGCTTCCTATTTCCTCCACTGCCTTCCCAGGACAAAGCTTGTTGTCACAAAAGCATCTAAGGATTTGGTTCTATGCAGGATCCATCACCCGCAAGTCTTGGGTACATCAGCTTTGGTTTCCATAATAGTACAACAGTGAGATTAGTATCTGTCTTACCAAAAGGTCAAGTTTAAATAATATAAAGAACAGAAAACATCTCATACAAGTCCTGGGATATAGTGGGCACTCAGCAGTTATTTTTATAATGATAGCTATTGTTCACTGCTTGTGAGATTTTCAAGGATTTAAATTCTTATTTTCCTGAAGCTTTGCAATGGAAGTTGGCTGGCGCTGGTGGCTCAGACCTGTAATCCTAGCTGCTCAGGAGGCTGAGCTCTGAGATTGTAGTTCAAAGCTGGATGGAACAAGAAAGTCCCTGCAACTCCTACTTACAAATAAACAGCAAGAAATCTGTAAGTGAGGCTGTGGCTTGAGTGGTAGAGCTTAGCCTTGAGGAGAAAAGCTCACGGATAGCATCCAGAACTATGCTCAAGTCCCAGGACCAACACACACACACACACACACACACACACACACACACACACACACACACACACACACACACACACACACACACACACACACAGAGAGAGAGAGAGAGAGAGAGAGAGAGAAGTTGTTGGCTCAGAGTTCTAGACCAGAAGAATCATAAATAACTTTATTTTATAGGAGCTTTGTTACACACCAAATAGAATTTTATTCTTAGATTTTCTTTTCAAAAATGCATGAAATTTCATCTTTCTTTTAAAATTTCCTTTTAGTTTTCCCTGTTCTATCTGGCTTCTTTTCCCCTGTCCTTACTTTCCCCAGGGCCATTTTTGGGACTATTTTCATTATTACTATTTCAGGACTATTTCAGGATAGTGTCTTTTATTTATGAGAATAAACTTACACTATGTTAACAGACAACATGTATTTCTTATAATCACACACTCAACTCCTGCTTCAATTCCATATTTCAGTATATTTCATAGGTTTCCCTCACTGGCTAGATGTCAGTTTCCTGCTTTTAGTACAAGTTTTGTTTTTGTTTTTGTCTTTTTATAGAAACCAAAGCTGCAGTCAGACAAAGTGAGCCCTGTAATCAGATAGTGTAGGTTCAAGCAGCGTTTAGCACCCAGCCTGTCCTCCTGACCGCTTCTAAGTGGCCAACCGTCTCCAGACCTGAGATGCCAAGTTCAACTATGACTAGCTAGCTGACTGCAAAAGCCCAAAGATAAACTCTCTCAGAAAAGCTAGCTCAGAACTGATAACTATGCTTTTCCTTTTGCTTACACTTGGGGCTCACACTGTTGTTGGGTGAGAGCCTTGGGTGGGCATTTCTTGCCCTGCTTGGGTCACTGTGGACAATCTGCTGGAGACTGGCCTCTTTATGAAAGCAGCTTGCCTGTAGTTCTAGCCTGTGTTTAGCCTTCTCTTGTCTGCTTTGAAGAAAATGCTGAGAGCTAAAAGCTCTGGAATCTTGGTACTGGCAGAGTTCCCAATGCAGGAAGCCAGAGACGTAGAAGGCTGGGGACGGGCCAGCCAGCTCTTGGGTTTTGTTTTCTTCATGCTTCTTTCTCCCCTGTTGTTTTTTTCAGGTAGTGAAGCCGATTTTAGCTCCTCCAGCAGCACGGGCAGCATTTCAGCCCCCGAGGTCCACATGTCTACCACAGGAAGCAAGCGGTCCTCTTTTGCACGCAAGTAGGCATTGTGTCTAGCTTAGTACTTTGGGCGCTTTACACAGTTGACATACCTGCACTTTATGTTTCTATGGAACCATCTTGTTTGTTGATTATTCTTACCATCAATGAAGGGGTTTATATGATTTGCAGTAGGGTCTTTCCCTACTTGACTTATTGTGGTCACATGACTCAGTCTGAGTTATCCCCCACAGCTATCCCCCATCGAGACCTGGGCACTCTGTCCCCTCATCCTTCACTGTCCTCTTTCCCTCACTCACCCATCTCCTCGCTTGGGTATTAGGCAGGTAGTCATCTCTTCCTTTCCTCTAGTTCAGCTTCTGTTTTTCTTTGTGAACAAAGCAGTGGTCCCAAGAGCCCCCAAATTCTACTTTGGTAAAGAGCAAAGAAGTGTGAAGTTCACAGACATGAGGACCACCACTGCAAGAGCAAAGCATCTAAATGTGGTAGCTATGAGCCAGGCTGTCCTAGTCTGAGTGCTATAGTACCACCCTGAGCAAAATGCTTAACTTTTCACCTCCTCCATTTCCTCATCTGTAAGAGACTTACAGTGATACATCACTCACAGAGTTTCTAATTGGCTCAGTACATACAGCTTAATGTTTTGGATTAAGAGTTCATCACTGATGTGTGAAATTGGAGAAGAGGACTGTGGGCATATGGAAGCCACCATTTACATGTAATGGAGGATAATGTAAGCTCCAGAATTCTCTACCTGCCACCAGTATAATTCCTCCTTCTAGTATTCAGTCAGCATCTATTGTGATTCAGGGAACGAACATACAACAGCAAGGAAAACCCCACAAAACGCACATTCATCCTTATATGGCAAAAAAGACAATAAATGTGAAATGATTATTTAAAAGACATGCAGGGAAAGGATACAGAGTAATAGATCATGTGATAGAGTCTAGATGGGCTGGTCCCAGGAGACCTCAGTGATTGGGAAGCTCAGAGCAAGACCCTGAAAAGAGTGATCGAGTGAACACAGCACACCTGGGGGCCACTTCCACTCTGATTTTATACAATCATTTGAGCATAGTGGGCTACAGTATCTAAATTGGAAAATCTGTAAAAAGAAAAAAACATGGGTGGTAGGATGGGAGGGATGATACAATATAGGAGGTGCTTTCCTAGAGGTAAAGGGATTTAGTTTCTAGAAACTTGCATTTTCAGGACTCAGCAAGCACATTTCCTATTTCTCTTGGGTGATCAAAGGTTTGGCTGATGTGTATAAAAGGACTGGAGATACCCCCAGTGCACATTCTTATTATTAGAAATAAAACTGAAGCCAGACAAATCTGAAGGAGAAGAGTAAAGTCCACTGAACAAAAGCACAATGGCTCTATCCCCACATCATTCTGTTCTAAGGAAATAACGTGTTTGTGGGTCACAGAGCATAAATATGGGCTTTCTCTGTATAAGTCAGATGTGTCTGGCCCTGAGGATCTAACTCATCCAAGAAACTAGCATATACCCATGGAACAGGTTATCTGAGAATATGGACTTTTTAAAAAGCCAATTTGATTAAGCATTGCAAAGAAACTTGGGTTAGTGGATAAATCCCAAGGTCAATAATGCAGAAGGTCTTAGAGAAAATGTTCTGGTCTAGAATTTGTTTCTTTATATGATCAAAAATAATACATTAAATATGATACATTGAAGTTCATACATTAAATCAAAATATTGAATGGATACATAAAATGGTTAATAATAATTATATGCAAATCAAGTATGTGCATACATCAGAAACAACTATTGCCAAGGGTTAATAGACCTTCAAAGACTCAGCAACAATTAGCCAGGTATGGTTGTGTAATCTTGTAATTACAAACTACTTGGTAAGTGGAAAATGGGATGATTACAGTTTTAGGCCAGCTTGTGGCAAAAAAAGTCTTGAGATCCCATCTCAACCCCAAAATGGCAGCACATACTTGTCATCCCAGCGACCAGGAAACATAATCCAGACCAGCTTGGTCCAGGCCCATGATCCTATTTTTTTTGGGGGGGGGGTCTGGTCGTGGGGTCTGAACTCTGGGCCTGGGCGCTGTCCCTCAGCTCTTCAGCTCAAGGCTAGTACTCTACAACTTGAGCAACAGCACCACTTACGGCTTTTTTTTTTTTCTTTTTGCTTATGTGGTGCTGAGGAGTCGAACCCAGGGCCTCAGGCATGCAAGGCAAGCACTCTACCACTTAGCCACCTTCCCAGCCCCCATGATCCTATTTTTAAAAGAACTAAAGCTTAAAGGACTTGAGGCATGGCTTCAGTGGTAGAGCCCCTGCCTAGCAAGTACAAAGTTTAGGAAAAAATAGTTGAGTAATTAAGTTTGGATTCTTTTCTTTCTCTGACCCAAGCATAGAATAGCTCAGGCATAGTCTATATATATATATATATATATATATATATATATGTTCTGAGGCTTCTCAAGTTTTGAAAGTTAGGGTTTTAACCATACCTGAATAATATGAGAATGGGGCAAATTTCATCTCATGAAAATGATCATAGTGAATAATGATGATGATGGTGGTGATGAAGAAATGGTGATGATGGTAGAATTACCTGAAGTAAGGGCCATGGTTAGAGTATAGGAATTTTCTTCCTCTCAGGAGATTAACTTCTATGTTTCTCATTTCTCTTTCCAATTACTCTGGAAATGGGAAGCATTGTTATGTCCACTCTCTTACTTTGTATTTTATTTGAAAATTATGAGAAATGAGAGAGTGATGGTGGTGGCTATAATGATGATGTTATAGTGTGATAGTTTGTTCAGTATAGTAGGTGAGTTCTCTGGAAATTCTCATATAATTAGCTGGTCCTTAATCATATATCTTAGCTCTTCATTGAAGTATGGATGTGAGTGGTGAAACCTTTAGATAATAATGACATAAACAGCCAGTACCTAACATGCCTATTTATTATCTAAAACAATGTACTGCATTTGTGTAAAGTAGGAGACATTACTGTAAAGCTAAAAAGATCCAACCTTAGCTGTGTGTTCTTGCACCATTTCTTTTCCCCAAGCTTCAATTACGTTATGTGTAGGCAGGAGATACTAATTGTCCCAGCCTTCTGGGATGGTGAGCTCGTGATGTGAAAGTGCTTATAGCCCATCTGGATCAATCCCTATGTCACAGAAGATCCTCTGTAAAGTTACATTCTATTCTAGTCTACAGTCCCAGGTCAAAATCAGGAATGAGTGTCCATATTCTTTTGCAATTTAAACGGGTTAATCCTCCATATGTCTTGTAGTCACATTAAGAAATAGGCCTGTCGGTGCCAGGCTTTAGAAGTGAAGCGTGGAGAAGAAAATCGAAGCCAGAGTTCATGTTCCTTTCAGCTACCCATAAAGTTCTTCCCACTCCTGGACTGCTCGAAGTTGGTTTGTCACCAAGCCATCAGCCCATCTGTTCCATATAAAGTGTCCTTTTCTTGCAAAATGAAGAACAAGTCTTTTGGGATGATTTCAGGAGGAAAGAAGTTCTAACTTCAGAGTTTGGAGGTTTCATGTATGTGTGATTTCCTGGGTTGACAGCTAGTTGAAATTACATCTGATTTTAAATAAGTAATTATGGTGACTGTGCCAGGTTTACCCACATGCATGCTCGCCTTCACATTTACACACGTTTACCACTGACATACATGTCAGTTGGATATGTGCCGTGATTAAAATTGCAAATAGAAAGAGACATCAAAAGGCAGACCTGCTATCCAAAGGCATCTTCTTCATCCTCGTTTCCTTGAAATATCATCAAGAAATACTCCTGAAAGAACTGTTATCCTATTTAAGAAATTTTAGCATTCTCTAGATGCTTCCCTACTTTGTTGGAAATCAAATCTCTGCAACTAGATTAACTGGAATGTCCAAACTAGATAATCCTGTAATATCAGTCTACAATTGAGTTACTCTTGGTTTCTTGGGTGCATTTGATTGTTTTACGTACATGTTTTTTGTATTTAATTCTGTTTTTAGGTAATACTTGGATCTGAATATGAGGTCTTGTGCTTGCTAGCACATGCTTTACTGCTTTAGTGCATTTGATTTTGTTTCTTGCTGGTGTTGGTTGTGGGGCTTGAACTCAGGGCCTGAGCACCATCCTTGAGGTTGGTTTTTGCTCAAGGCTAGTTAGTGTTGTACTACTTTGAGCCGTAGTGGTGGTTGATTGGAAATATGAATCTCACAGCCTTTTCCTGTGAGATTCTTAGGCTCCTGAGTAGTTAGGATTACAAGCATAAGCTGCCAGTGCCTGGCAGATATTTTTGGAGGGTTGGAGCTTGAACTCAGAGCCTGATGTTCTGTTCTTTAGCTTTTTCACTCATGGTTGGTGCTCTACTGCTTGAGCCACAACTCTACATCTGCCTTTTTGTTGGTTAGTAGTAGACAAAAGCCTCATGAACTTTCCTGAATAGGCCAGCTTTGATTGTATTTGATTATGATTTGATGTTCTTATGAATTCGGTGTTGAAGGCAGGAGGAGTGTGTGTGTGTGTGTGTGTGTGTGTGTGTGTGTGTGTGTGTGTGTGCATGCACATGTGCATATGAAATGGTTTATGGCTTACCTAAGGTCCAAGTATGTGGTAGTACCAGGACTCAAATCGAATTTATTCTTTCAGCAGCCATGTAGGGAGTACCTAGTATGTGCTGGGAAGTGGTGGGGCTGTAGAAGGTCAAGCTGTGTTCCTTCCTTCAGAGATGCCCCAGTGTAGGAGCAAGACAATTAAGTATTCACTGGCAATTTTGTTCAACAATTCCACACTGGCAGTTTGTATAGGGTATTAGCACCAAAAAGTGGTACTGCCAATGGCCTAGAAAAAGAATTCAGAGAAGGTTTCTTGGAACAGCTTCCCATCATTCTCAAAGTGGGAGACATCTTGGTATTTAGGGGCTTAGAGAAGGCAGACGGACAGTTTTAGGCCGGAGAAACTGTAGCTTCAAAAAGATAAGGATGATCACGAGCATGTATCCTTCAGGAAACTAAATCATTTGGAATGATATAGAGCAAGGAATGGTGGAGGATGGGGTTGGGAGGGGTGGTAGATTAGACCTCTAGCTACTTCAAGGAGTCTGGCCTTTATTCTGGAGGGAATTGAGAAAGGTGAGGATATTCAAATTCTATTTTAGAAAAGGTACAAATCAGACTCCTGCTGAAGAGGACAAAGCAATACACAAGATGAGGCTGTGTGAACATTTTTGTAGTTAAATGGGAAAGGCTATGATAAGTTGGGAATGGAAAGAAAAGCAAAACATTAAATAGCCTCTCTTAGTCTGTTTCTTCCCCACAATGGGAAACGCCATCATCTCCATAGATTAAATGAACTAGCTTAATTTTCTTACCCCAAAATGAACCAAAACCAAATATTTCTAAACCAAAGCAGGTGCACTGGAACAAAAAACATACTTTCAAAACAGCCTCCCAAATGAATCTAAGCCAAATCAATATTTTACCTGGTATGTGTTCTTAATGGGCAATTGGGTTTAATCCAAAACAAGCTTTATGGTCAGAATCTATTTGAAAAAAGAGCAGAGAGTAAGGCTTCTTGTGCTAATCTATGAGGAGAGGGAAAAAAAAAACCAGGTAAGCTAGGAAAGGCTATTCATCAGGACAGTTTGCATCAGGAATTAGATTGCCCCATTTAACTCTAAGAATTATATTTCCTTAGTTGGAACTGGGTTTTGGAAGGCAAAGCCATTTCTAGCCACAAGGGCTCTAACATTTGTTATGTTCTCCTTCTAGTCGAGGTCCCCATGGGCGGAGTAATGGAGCTTCCTTGCATAAATCTGTCAACAGCCCACCGTCCCCTAGGGAAAAAGACCTTCTGTCCATGCTGTGCAGGAATCAGCTGAGCCCAGTTAACATCCATCCCAATTATGCACCTTCTTCCCCAAGTAGTAGCAACTCAGGTTCGTACAAAGGAAGTGACTGCAGCCCAGTGATGAGGTGAGTTCCATTCCTCTCCTTAGTTCAGCTTTTCTCTAAAAAAGAAAAACAATGCACAGCACTTAATCTCCTGCTTTATTCTGTAATAAGACACTTCTCTTCCCCATCCCACACTCAGATAATCCTTCAAGGATTGCTGCAGAAAGATCACAGACCACAATGTCTAGCAGGGTACAGCAGTCCAAGCAGTGCCTTGATAAGGAAAGCAATGGCATAGCAGCAGCAGGAGGGATGTGGGCATTAAATCTGCTTGTGTTCATTCATTCATTCCAACATCGTATGTTTATGGAGTACCATGTTCTGTATGAGCACTGAGGACAGAATGCCTAATAGTGAGCCTGGATCTCAATGCCCAAAGGAGAAGACATTAACTATCTAATAACAAATCAGTCTAAGGTTATTCCACAGCTTTTGTGGTGATATGAAGGTACACAACATGGGGAGGGGCCCATTCAGAGGAAGTGAATAGAAGCAACATCTGAAGGGCAAGCAAAGAGTCAACAGTATGGGGAGAAGGAAGAATGGAGTGCACACCCAGAAGGGCAGGGAGGAGGAGGGCCAGAAGGGAAGGAACTGGGCATAGGCCATCTTGGGCGGAGTGCAGGCCCAGGCGCAGGCAACACAGTGGCTTGGATTTGGTCCAGCAGCAGGGGAGAAGCTGGCTGCTCTCCTCAGTCCTCTTCTCCCTGAGTGACTTGTTTTCATGAGTCAGCTCTTACAGCAGGGATGCCCTGCTCTTGGCTAGGATTCTAGCTGGGGCTGTTTGCAGAACATCGAGTGCCTCTCTCACAAAACACAACTGATGTGAGTAGAGCAGCCTCGTTCAAGAAGAAACTTTCCATTCCCATCAAAGCAGTACACTCACACCAGGGGCTGAGGTCAGAACAAACTGCATTTAACTCACATCATGCAGGATCTTCAGACAGGGGTACGTTGTACAGAAAGTTAGGTCATCTTGCCCCTTTCTCTTCATTCTTTCCACCCTAATTGCCCTTTAACTGTAACTATGAATACACAGCAGGGCCCTGTGAACAGTTCTAAGAGATCATGACTCTTAATTCAGAAGAAAAAAACCTTGCTTCACTCTCCCTCCTCTACATACCACTCCCTCAGTCTTCGATGTCATTCACAGCCCTGAGATTAGCAGCTATGTTCTAGTCTGTCTTCTTAGGTGAGCTCATGTTACTGAGGTCTAAGACCCCCAACACACTGCTGCAGTTCCTTCTCAAGCGTTGGATTATGTGTTTTAGTCTGATACAGCAAAGATGGGGTGGTTATATGGTGTGGCTAACACACAATAGAAAGCTTTTCTCAGAAAGTTTTTCTGGACACTGTGTCTGAGATTGGGGTCGGAGATATGTCAGAAAGGCTAGGTTCTGCGGAAGGCTCTCTGCTGCCTTTTTATATTATTCTCACAAAGAGGCCATCAATCTAGGTAGTTTCCTAGGATCTCTTAGAAAGGGAGTTAGCGTTTTAACACTTATTTTCTACAGTGGGGGGGGGGGGACATAGGGCTCAAAGTAACTTCATTACTTGGATTGTTTCAGGCGGTCTGGAAGGTACATGTCTTGTGGAGAGAATCATGGTGTCAGACCCCCAAATCCAGAACAGTACTTGACCCCTCTGCAGCAGAAGGAGGTCACAGTGAGACACCTGAAGACCAGGCTGAAGGAATCAGAGCGCCGACTTCATGAAAGGTGAGTCTGCATTCCTCCTGTGGTGTTCCTTACGCAGTGTGATTTAGGACAATATTGAGACTATGCTATACTAAGTATAATCATCCAAACCATACAGAAAAATAGAGAAGAAAAACATTTTTGGTCAAATTATTTTTATTGTGAAAATACCATACAGAGGGGTTACAATTACATGGGCAAGATAATGAGTACATTTCTTATCAAGCATTGTTGCCTCCTCCTTTGTTTCCCCTTCCCCTCCCTTCCCATCTCCTACCCTCCCTGCCCCCCACCCCCAGCCAAAGTTGTAAAGTTCATTTTTTGATATAACAACTTGTACATCTCATTGTTGCAATGGGTCCACCTGTATCCCTATTTAAACGATTTGTTTTTCCCCTTCCCCTCCCCAAATTATACCAACCTCAAATACAGTGAAAGCAGGGGTTATACAATGGGGGATGGACATACAAAGCAACAAAGAAATCATCTTAAAAATGTGTTAGAAACAATCGCATGAAAGAAAAAACATTGAATACTTATCTTGGGGTTCATTTCACCTAACATCAGCTTATCTGGCCTTTTCTGCTTGTCTCAGACATAAACTAGTTATTGCAAATAAGGGAAACCATGGGACCTATGTTTCTTTGGGCCTGGTTTACTTCACCTAATATAATTTTTTCTAAGTCTTTCTATTTCCTAACAAATGGGACAATGTCATTCTTTCTGATGGAGGCATAGAATTCTTAAATCAGCCTCTGAAGAGATCTTTTTCCTTTTTGTCAGTTATAGAGCTTGAACTCAGGGCATGGGCACTGTCCCTGAGCTTTTCTGCTCAAGGCTAACATTGTACCCCTTTGAGCCACAGCTTGACTTCCCGTTTTCTGGTGGTTAATTGGAGATAAGAGTCTCATGGACTTTTCTGATCCTCAGATTTCAGCCTCCTGAGTAGCAAGGATTACAGGCCACCAGTGCCCAGCAGTATTGCTATTTTTAATGGGTAGAAACATGTGCAGCAACAATTCATCTAGCAGAATAGGCCACAAAGGCCCCATCAAGTCCTGTTTGTCTCTACCGAAGAGTGAACATCTATGTGTGCATTGTGATTCCTGCAAGCTATTTCTGTGCTGAAGGAAGAGGTTCATTTTTCTTGGCCAAGAGTTCAGGTTAAAAAGAAAAAAAAATCCGACACATGCCTAAGAGATCTTATCTTGGAGAGAAAAGACCTTTGACATTCTGGGAGCAAGCCAGTTTTTCTGCATGATGATTTTTTTCCCTGGAAATTTTTGGAACAGACTAGCAGAGGGAGCTGGGAGCTCAGTAAGGGTGGTGTTTTCATTTTCTGGGAGCTTGGGGTCTGATTTAGCACATGGCTACTTGGCTAACACCTCTTCCTCTGAGGCCACAAGGATGTGGTGAAGACCAAGAGACTGTTTTGTTGGTAAAATTGTGGGCAGATAATGGTGCAGGAATTGAGAAGGGACATTTTTCATTTTCTAGATTAATTTGTTTCTTCACCTGACTGAAATAGATTTGAGACCCAAACTCCAATATATGATGAGTTCGACTTCACTTTCTGAAAGTATTTGACTGATTAACTCTGGATTTGTAAGATTTGTAACTTTAGAGGAGGGAGAGGTGTGAACAAGCAGCACAACTTGATAAAATATTCAAGTGCAACTTTAAGTACTGGTAATGGCTCCTCACATCCATGTGGATCCTGGCTATCTGGTCTACATATCCAAAACCACTATGAGAACATATATTTACATTGATCTTGGAGAAAAATACATGTAAGAAAGAATAGTTTGGCAAATGTTTTGTAATAGTATCCTTTGAGGAATCTAAAAAGTATGATGGATTCTACTCAGGGGCGACAGATCCCTTATCATCTTATCTGAGACAAGATAGAGTACGCAACTTTTCACAATGCCTTTGCAAGATGTAGCACTGTAAGATGTCAAAATATTATCATTGAATTGTGGTCAGAGACCAGTTTGGGAAGGTTCACATCATTCCAGCTTCTGTCTTTGATAACTAATTAAAAGTGAAATAGATTGTCTTTCAAAAACGCTTGAGTATGCATTGTGAAAGATTAGGCTATGGATATAAAAGCAGACAATGAGATTAATAATAAAAACACAGATATCTAAGTATCCACTAAGTAACACAGATATCTAAGTAAACTACTTAGTGCCTGACACATAGAACGAGAGAGAGAGAGAGAGAGAGAGAGAGAGAGAGAGAGAGGGAGAGAGAGAGAGAGAACAATGGTAGCTATTTTGATTCTGTTTCTGGTTTCTATTATTACCTTAGCTATTTTACAATTAAAGGGGGGAAGTGCATAGCTACTCCCTGCCAATGAAAAACATTACGAAACTGTGTTCCAAGTGGAAGAAGAAAATGGGCTTTGGGCTGTGTCTGAACTGCTTGTTTTCTGGTTCGGATGGGACTGTTTTTAAACTGTGCTTGCCTTCCCTCTAGGGAAACTGAGATTGTAGAGCTCAAGTCCCAGCTGGCCCGGATGAGGGAAGACTGGATTGAAGAAGAGTGCCACAGGGTAGAGGCTCAGTTGGCTCTCAAAGAAGCCAGGAAGGAGATCAAGCAGCTCAAACAGGTCATTGAAACGATGAGGAGCAACCTGGCTGATAAAGACAAAGGCATTCAGAAATACTTTGTGGACATAAACATCCAAAACAAGAAGCTTGAGTCCCTGCTTCAGAGCATGGAGATGGCACACAATGGTTCCCTGAGGGATGAACTGTGTCTAGACTTCCCATGTGATTCCCCCAGGAAAAGTTTGCCCCTGGCCACCAATTTGGGCAAGGTGGCAGATGGCCTATCTCCAGAAGAGCAAGTCACGGAGGAAGGGGCTGACAGTGAGCTGCTGATAGGTGATAGCTTGGCTGATGGCACAGATTTGTTGGATGAGGTGGTGATTGCTGCCACCCAAGAATCTGGTGACCTAGAGCCTGTTCACTCTACTCCAAAGGCAAAAGTCTTGGAGGCCCTCCCTCTGGTGGTGGGGCAGGAGGAAGAGGTCAGTGTGGTGATGGAGCAAGCTGTGCAGACCGATGTGGTACCCTTCAGCCCGGCTGTCTCTGAGCTCATTCAGAGTGTGCTCAAGCTCCGGGACTTCTGTCCCTCGAGCTCAGCATCGCCTGATGAGTCTGGGGCTGACTCAGAGACCTTCCCAGAGTCCATCTCTCCCTTAATGCTTGATTTAACTCCAAGAAGTCCGAACTCAGCCATTCTTCTGTCTCCCATGGAGACTCTACCCAGCAAGGCAGCTATGGAAGCCCGTGCAAACCGCCTCATGAGAGAGCTGGATTTCACCGCTTTTGCAGAAGAAAGGTTGGATGGCATCAACCCACTGTCTCAGGGGGGTGTCATGAGGCAGTACTGGAGCAGCAGTTTCCTGGTGGATCTGCTGGCTGTGGCTGCTCCCGTGGTGCCTACCGTCCTGTGGGCATTCAGTACTCAGAGGGGTGGAATAGATCCCGTCTACAACTTCGGAGCCTTGCTCCGGGGTTGCTGCGTAGTGGCCCTGCATTCACTCCGCCGCACCACCTTCCACAGCAAAACCTAAATAGAAGTTGTTTCTCTGCCAGTGTGTTCTGTGTGACGTTGTGCCCGGTAGAGAAACACGAAGTCGATCTGTGGCAGTCTCTATTCCGTCGTGTTGCTCCTCGGTATTTGATTTGCACTATAGTTAGTTGAAGCCTGTGTCACTGTTTAAAACCGGAGGTATCTTCCAAGACATGGAGACCTCATTCCAGTAAACGTCCCACCAGTATGGTATAGAAAGCATGCTAATGACCCTGCCCTGTCGTCCGAGGTCCCCCGATCTTAATCTAGTGGTTCAGGAAGAGAGAAATGCAGATTTTGCACTTTCAAGACAGCTTCTCCAAGGCTGGCATGTTATCTCCTTGCTTTGCTTTGTGCCGTTTAAAAAATGTGTAACTGTTCCAGAATTCCCAATGGTCTTGTGCATAGCAGGGGACTGTAACCAAAAATAAAAATGTATTTGCATAATTGGTTTGAAGAAGTCTTGAATAGCTCTTTAGTGTCTTACTTGGGGTTGATAAAGTTGAAGTGTTGGCAATTTTTTTAAAACTAAGTGTAGCTGCAAAGTCTTAAATGGCTTAAGTCTGTCCTTAAATCTGTTGATTGATGAAGTTGTATGTAAATTTACAATGTACTAACTTATTTTTTGCTTATTATATTATATATAGTGTTTTATTGGAAATTGTTTGTAACCACACACATCTGCATGATGAAAGTAAAGATTAGTGTTTCCACTTAAATAAATGTTTTATCCTCCTAATAAATACTCTGTGGGTCTATTTCCATGCAAGGTCTAAGTCACTGGCAGATCATCCATGGCTATGGAGAAGGTTCTATAACAATGGCACTAAGTAATGAGAGAGAATAATACTGCAGGTGAAGATTCTCTACCTTGACTATCAACACATCATTTCTTAAATAAAAATACTTCCACTAATTATCTAACCACATACTGCATGTTGAGCCTTCTGTAAGGGAGGTGATTTTCAGTGAGCAGGAAAGGAAAGAGTGGGAGTGCAATGTCTTATTTCTCTTATGGTAGTGAGCAGGCGGTGGTGGGAAGGAATGAGATAATATTTGATCAGCATTAATTCATTCAGTGCTAGCAACCTTGTGAGGTGAGTATACTTACTTTTCAAAATGGGAGCTAAGCCTCAAAGAGGAAAATTGCTCAGAATCCATCTCCAGGAGGATTTAAAATGTCTACAAAGCAAAGGCCTTTTCCTACTTTACCTGCAAAGGGAAGAGCCATAGCAAATAGTGTTTAACCTTGAAACTGCTACTGCTACAGCATTGTAAATATACTTTAAAAACAGCTTTCTGTACCTTGCTTCTTACCCACATCCCTCACTAATAAATTAGCTGTATGAACAGAGCCAGGATCGGTGGTCTGTTTTGCTCACACATCTATGTCAAGAATTTAGAACAGGACCTGGCACAGTCCTATAGGAAATCTAAAAGTTATTGTTGAATACATTAAATAATCCAACAACCACTTATTGGGTTCTCCTGTTCTAGTTAGGCACTACTGGGCCGGTCATCTTTGGTGAAAGACATGACAAGATCTCTGTTCTCAGAAAGCTTCCATTCTTGAGTCTGTGAAGCAGTGGTTTGGTGATGAAGTCATTTTAGATAGCTATGTTTTAAAAGAAGTAAGGGTTTTTTTTTTGACATAGTGTAAGAACACATCTTTAATGAAATATCACTGATGATGAAGAAAGAGTCTGTATGTGAAATTATGGGTAAAGTATTGCAAAACAAGCAAATGAGAGACAAAAGGGCTCAATATGATACAGGAGAACCAAGGAGGTCAGAGCTGAAGTGAGGGAGAAGTAGACATACATTGTTTCCTATGGCAGCATATTAAGCATGGTAAGGATTTGCATTTATTCCCAGTGTAAGGAGAAAATATTGGTGGACTTTGAAGAGGGAATTTTTTTTTTCTAAAAATAAAAACCCCACATAGTCACAATACATTCATCATAGGGGGGCAATAGCGTGAACAAGACCTTTTAAGACCTATTCTAATAGTGCAGATGATGGATCATAACTAGAGAGGGAAATATTAGATTAATGACCAAATTGAACAATTAAAGAACAAATGGGATCTGCTGATAGCTAAGAGGTAGTAGGGTGAATGGAAAAGGTAAGGATAGCCCCTAGATTTTTGGCTTAAACAACTGGGCCAATGGGAGTGCTACTTGCTGAAAATTGGAAGAGTTCAAGAGAAACACAATTGGCTGGGAATAAAAATTGAGGTGTCTATTAAAATACCTATGTGGAGAAGCCAAATAAGAAAGTGCATATATGTGCAATAAAAAAGAATAACAGGAGCTGACAGTTATAAGATTGGATCTCAATTCTGTGTAGTAGTTAAAACTACAGGAACAGATGAGATTTTGAAGAAATAGTACAAAGAAAAGGAAGACAGAAACTGAGCCCTGTCATATTTCCACATTTAGCTGTAGAGGACAAAGAACTGACATAAGCAGAGGAAGAGGTAGTCTAAATGCAGGAGGAACTAAGCACCATGAAAACCAGGCTGAATGAGTGAAGAACAGTATAGTGAAGAACCAAAAGAAAACATGAAAACATTTACCAGACACAGACTTTGGCAGCAAGGTCTCAGTGTCCTTGTCAAGACTTCTTAGAAGAAACAGGAATGGAAGCCAAAATAGAGCAGAAAGAGTGAATGGGAAAAAAGCTAGACAGAGGTGGCTCATGCTTGTAACCCTAGCTACTGGGGAAGCTGAGAATGTGGATTGTGGCTCAAGACCAACCAGTGCAGACAAACTGCTGAGACCTCTTCTCAACAACACTTGGGAGCGGTAGTGCATATATGTCAGGCCAAGAACCAGGAGCTGAAGTCTGTGAGATTTATTCTCGATGGAGGGAAACTGGACACAATGGCACAGTGGCAAAGACCTGTGATTTCAATGATGACAGAAGCTGCTGGATCATATCTCAGGCACATGCCCCGTGGGAACAAAAACCCTATCTCAAAATTAATCGGTGAAAAACAGGACTGGAGGTGTGACTCAGTGGTCTTTTGCCAGCCTAGCAAGTATGAGCCCTGAGTTCAAGCCTACAGTACTGCCAAAGAAAAGAGTGAATAGAAGAAAGTAGGAATAAATGTGCAACTAATTAGAGGTGGTTTTATTTCCCTTTTAGTTTTGCTGTGAATGAAGAGTGAGAAGTGGGTAGTTGCTGAGATATGAAAGTAAAGGCTTATTTTACAATATAGAGAACTGAAGAGATAGAATATGTTTATACACATCAATGCTTGAATCAAAGAAGAAAAATGATTGCATTAGGAGAAACAGGTTAATTGGAGAAAGGAAACCCTGGAGATGTGAAGGGCTGGACTCCAGGACAGAGGATGCATGTCTGGAAGAGGTTTGTCTCTGTGAAGAACATTTCTGTGGGAATACACATGTGCCTTAGGTACACACATTGGTATTTACAGAGCACACATTGGTATTTACACTGCTACATCATGCAGTTCTAGCCAGCAGTTGGAGGATTGGGCTGAATTGGAAAGGGAACTATTTCTGGAGATGAATATTTGGAAGTATTCCAAAATAATTAGCCATACTGACTCAGGTCTTTCCTGTGGGCCAGCCCAGCCCAAATGAATATTTAATATTAGTATCCACCATAAATTAAGTCCCTCCTTATTTACTTTTAGTTGCTGCTAAGTTAAAGCATCTTTTTATACTTTAATAATATGATAAAAAGGCTGATTTTGGTATATGCTGTTGCCACAGAAAGAAATATCACCTGAGTATTGCTTAGTTAAAACTAGATTTTTTTTTTTTTTTTTTTTATAAAAAGGGACTAATGAAAAGGAATCATCATGAACCACACTTACTTGTGTAATTAAATTGGAAGCATTTAATCCTGGAGACCCAATTGTATGTCTTATAGTCATCTTTACAAAAACCAAATCCTTCAAAGGTACCCAATTGTATGTCTTATAGTCATCTTTACAAAAACCAAATCCTTCAAAGGTACTCATTTGAGACACTGGCTATAGCATTTCCTTTCCATGTGCCTAAGGATAAAGCAAGAAGTCCTGTAGCAGTTATTCTATTTTCTTTTCCTTCTCTTTCTCTCACTACTCCAACACCCCCTCCTCTTCTTCAGGGTTTCAGCATGTAGTCTGTGGAAAATTACTGCCTTTATTCTCAACAAAGTCTCCCTCAAATGAGTCCCTTGGAATAAATAAAGGATGGAACATACTCGCCTTTCGGAAGCCCAAGGCGTTGGCTGCTTTTGTGGGCAGGACGATCTGATCCCATTGAAAGAAGTACCTCAAAGTTGTGTTTAGTCATTCGGGTGCCTGTAATGTACAAACAGGCAGGAAAATGGAAAAAAAAGAACAATTCCATTCTATTGAATAAGTTGCTGTCCCATCAAAGCAAATGTTAAATGTTTCCTACAGTTATGAGTGCAAACATTCCAATTTATAAGAAAAGATTTTTCCCAAAGGGATCTGCTGATCTTTCCAAGTTGAGCTGTTCAGAAATGAGGGAAAATGCAATTCATTCAGATGCCAAGCGTTTTTGACATTTGCTGCAGGAGAAAAAGAAAACCCGTGATTCACACTTGTCATTAGCCCTCCCCAACCAGTTGGGTCTGACAGGTTTTTTTCTTGTGAGGGTTTTATTTTAAAAGATTGTGGTAGCTCGCCACTTCCATTTTGGGTCAGCAAGTACTTTTTACAAAATCCCAACTTCAGCTGGCACAATGTGCCCAAGGAGGCAGTAACCTAGGAAACTTGGTTCATAGCAAACTATCTGTGGCCATTTTAATAGGGTCTCAACAAACTCCCACTGAAAAAAGGCAATTACAAAATCCATGTCCATGTATCTGTTACCACTGATATTCCCTTACACAAGATGACTATAAGGATTCTAATAATTCTGAGTAACTTAAAAATTCAAAGGTTTACGCACTATTCAGAAGAAGAGTTTTGTTGTAAGTTAGAAATAGGTCAGTAGCATTCAACGTTGTTGAAGTTGTGTTGTTTTTTTTTTCTTCCGGTGGTGGTGGTATGGAGTTTGAACTCAGGGCTTCACATTTGCTAGGCAGGCACTCCAGCATTTGAATTATGCCTCTGAGTTCCCTTTTTATTTACTTTTCAGACAGTCTCCTTTCTCATTTTCTCTTTCTTGAAGATCTTGCTACAGATTTTATAAACTATTGTCACAGATCGTGGCCTTGGCTACCCTCGAACTATTATTCTCTTGATCTCCATCTTAAAAAGTAAATGGCTCTCAAAAGTGTTTTAAACATCAAATACCCAATATATAAGACACATTACCCAAGCAAAGTTTTTGGAATAGTCCCAAGCTTGGAACCCTGACACTTGCCCTTCCCCTTGGCCTTGCAGTGATTTTTGTAAATCACCTTTGAAAATGGTTTGCAAACATTTTTTTTTGGGGGGGGGGGCGGGGGGAATTGCCAGTTCTGATATCTCACACACAGAAACTGGGTTAACTGGAATAGTTCTCTGATGGTGCTAAATACTGAGATCTCTCCGGCATGCTATAAATGAATGCTGAATGAAATTGTCTACTAACATTTTCTTTCCCAAAGACTGTCGGCTAGTGTCCTGTTGGTTCAACTGGAGAGAAAACTCCCTATCTCCTGAGGCCATGGAAACGTCAGGGCCTATGGTAAAATAAAGTGTGCAGCCAGCATCCTGACTCCCGCTCTCTGCTCTGAATATTAGAGGTAGGCATTGCAACTTAAGAACCTGCATCCCTTCCTTGTAGTCAAAATAGATCTGTGTTTGAAATGGTTTGCCAGTTTCTCTTTCTACAATAAACAATAGGTGCTGGCATTTTAAACTGACCTTTACTTCTTAGGAACCAACACATTATTTCTGGCTTGTTGGTTGCATGGAGAAAAACTAAAAGAGGAAAGTATCTTACTAATTTTCTCTACTGAAATTTTTCATTACTGAAAGCAGTACATAAAAGAGTTCTGACATGATCATGCATCTCCTAGCACTTTTGTGTACTTCAACTGAAATATGGCAAGTCAAATATATCTATATCCTTAGGCACATTTTTCTTTACTTAGCACTATAATAAAATGCAGTCCAATGAAGCCAAGAGGCAGTAGTTATCTTACAATAAATCAAAACTGGCCTAAGTCAACCTAACACTATTCTAAATATATCCTTTGAATTTTCTATGACTTTCTCTGTTATACAGTCTTACAAGTTAATCCTAAAGACATATGTTAATGAGGTAACTGGATAAGCTTAGTTTTGTATTAGATCTTTAAGTATAATTCTTGGCTGTAAATGCATGAAACTGTGCCACTGCCCTCAATTATGAACAAATCAAACAAGCTAATTGGCCTATATTTGCAAGTGTTTAAATACAAACTGCATTTCATTTTGCCCCGATTATAATATTCATCCAAAGAAACAAGGAGCATGTAATTATGTAGCATTTACATTCAGCTATTTTCAGAAAAAATAAAAATATAAAATTCCTTCTGATTAAGATTTTAGAAAATAGGTGTTATCTACAATAATGTATAACACTATTTTCAATAGTAAATAGAGAACAGCTAGAAGATCAAAGATGCAATAGAAACCATAGATTACACGGACTGCTGATTAACCAGCAATAGAACCTGCTTGTCAACTTGCTATTTTTATTTTCCCTTTCTCTTGCTCAAGCAAAACTAGATTTGCTAAGCATTGTCTTCCTTCCTTGTGAAATAAGTATATCTATCTTACAAGATTGTCAGGAGTCATTGTTACAAACACTATTAAACACATGAGATTCCTACTGCTGTGACAGAATACCTCATACAACCCTTTGTCATGGTTTCGGTCCATGGTCTCTTGGTCTCCTGGGCCTGTAGTGGGGCAATACACTATAGTGGGAGAACGAGGTGGAGAAAACCTCATTATAGGATGGCAGAGAAGTGAGAGGAAGGGGTTGGGGGTCCCAATATCCCCTTTAAAGGCACATATCCAATGCTCTACCTTCAATTCATTGGCCCTACATTCTTCCCACGCACTACAGACTAGCAACTAAGCCTTAGCACAGGGCCTTTTATGGGACATTTAAGATTCAAATCATTAAGCACATAATATTCATTTTCTTACTAAATTTAGAGTTCTAGTGAAGGATGTACTAAAGATGACAAGATCAGCCCCATTTTTCTTTTGCAAGGAAGGGACTATCAGTACTACTCTACAGAGAGAAATAAGAAAAGTGGGTAGAACCTCATAAAGAAAAGCATGTACAGGGTCTCACAACTGAATAGTTACAAGCAGTACCAATAAAACACAAACTCAACAAGCTGCTTAATGTTGCACCACTTCTGCAGCAGTAGAGAACTCCGAGACTCTCCCAAGTTGCTGTAATCAGATCAATATGTAATGTAAGTCTGCAAAAATAGCCATAAAAGTCTTTTGAAGGAGAGGCTCAGACTATTGTGGATTGGTTGCAGATTTTAATTAAAACATTCTCTGCAAAAGTGAGTGCTAGTGACGTAGCAGTGTCAAAGGAAAATACTGCATGCAAGGGCATTAACAAAGAAAACCTTTGCATGAGTGGGGGCAGGGAGTGGCTTCCGAGTGTCTTTCCAAGTAGAAAGGACCTAAGACCTGTGGTGAAAAGCAACTTAGTACCTCTCAAAATTTAACTCCTGTGATAGTGCACACTCCATGGCTACGATAAACAGTAGGAAGCAAAGTAAAAACAAAACACCTAAGTGACTTCAAAAGAAATATAACCATAAAAGCATATAAAATATAACCATATAAAAGCAGCCTTGGTTAAAATTAAGAAAATTATGAAAATAAATGACTTATATTTGTCTTTAGGACAAAAACAAACAAACAAACAACAACAAAAAACAAATGGCACAAAGCAGTTTAAGTTATTAACTCAATCACACTCTTCAGATCCAGCATCTTCTTCAGCCCTCAAATTAGCTAAAAGTGCAGAAGTTTCTTCCTTGCAACAATCCATAGACACTCTCCCCAGCAAGCTTCTGCAAGAACTATTCAACTTATAACAATTGGCCTCTCTTCTACACTCAGTGAGAAATCTTTTGAACAAGGGGACAGTATAAAAAATCACAGCAGTAGATTATCACAAATTCAAACTACATAGGATTAAAAAATATGTATCATCAACTATAGGTGGCCCAGACCTTAGATAACAGACTATTAACAAATATTTAGGCTTTTTAAAACTTTGACTATAGTTATCTATGTTACGGTAGTAGCTGGTTCCAAAGTAGTGTTAGAAACCTAATACAAATGTGGATTCTGCCCAACAACAAATCTATAGCCAGAAAACTCTTGCTCTGGCCAGAGGCAAGTGAATGTCAAAATACAGAATTCATATGAAGAATTTTTAAATTGCAAGTTCTAAAATGTCCAATTAAATAGGTTGTCAGAAGAGGCTAAACTAAAGCCTAATAGAAAAAAAAATGGCTGGAACCATTAAATGTCTGTCTTTACGAGTATGAAACAAGTTTCATACATCTTTGATTTCTTTTTTTAAATCTTAAATGCACATTTCAGATTATGGGTAGAACTTCTTAGTTAAGTAAGCTTGCCCAGATTTCCTTTTATACATAGTAATTCTTCATAAAATTAAAAGCACTTAAAAAGAAGCCGTAAATCCAGGAGCAAAGACAGCCACGGTATGTCTACCATGGGATATTTATCATATTTAACTTAATGATTTCTTTTGGGGCCACGATCTGTATATCCTTAATAAAAGACTTTAGTTTACATAGCAAAGATGAAAATAAATCTTCAGAGTTGTTCTTTTTGTGAGAAAAATCTATTTCTTCCTATTTAATCATGTAAGCCATAATTTCTAATAGCTCTTTCTACAATCAAAATCCAAAGAGCCAAAAAGGACTACCTTCACAAACATGAAAATCATGCTTCAACACATCTATTAAAGAAAGCTTCAGTGAAAGTAATTAAATGGGTTTTCCTTTATGAATTTCAAATTTAGAGAAATCTTGTGTGTAACTAAAGGGACAAAAATAACGAAATAGGTAAGTAGTAGACTTATATTAAAATTTTGCGTCTAATTCAATTTGATTACACGTATAGCTTCCAGCTATAACCAGCTTTCCACCAAAGCTCTATAATCACATTTAGTCTGGAAGTTTGTTTTAAAGATTTAGGAAACTCTCATTGCATAGTTAATGATTTTACTATGAAATACTAATTTGATTCAAATATATATTAATTCTGGTCAATAACTTTTAAGAAAGTAAAAATCTTCAAAATTTGAAATGCATAGAAAATCAGGCTGTATTTTAATTGTGGTAAATTATCAGATGTTTTTACTTCCTTACAAGTACAGTGTGCAATTATTTCTTCTAGTCAAGGTATTCAACACTATTAATAAGAGATGATTATTGTTAACTTGATTAGAAATTTGATGAATCAGTGATGTCAAAAGGCAGCATTATGTCAGATATATAAAACTGATATAGAAATCATCTAAGACCTTTGAAGTACTAGAACTAAAGGCTTTCTGCACTTGTAAATTAATGGCTTTTGAGTAACTATGGTACTTAAGGACCCTAAAACATCTTTAATCTGTAACAAAGGGTAGGAGTACTAATACTAGTTCTTAAAACTCACAAGTTATAATAATTTAAGACAAATTGGACATGTTGGTCGATTTCAATGTTTATACATGCAATATAAATTACAAATATGTATAATATCACATCATTGAAAGAAAATGATGTAAAAATATTTGATAAATAAAATTATTGCATTTAATGTCATCTTAAAAATTCAAATCATCAAATTCCTTAATGATATATAAAACAATACCAGTTCTCACTAGAGTAAATGTATGCCAACATAGCTTCTTACAATGAAAATAAGGAAGTGAAAGCCCTACCTATAGTCTGTCTAATTTAGGTCAGGTGATCATGGAAACAAAAAAATAGCAGAATTATTTATTTTATAATTATACACATTGAAGGAAAACATAATAGATAGCAGAGTTCTTTTCCACCATAAAATTATTTACACCCATTTATTTAGCTAGAAACATTAGCTTGAGAGGTACTGGTATATTCCATTTGTAATAATTTTTCTACAGCAAACAATGTTGTATGTCTGGAGAATGTTGAAGAAAATAGTTGCGTACATCTGTTCTGTCCTTTTGAGTCTCAATCACTAAGAGTTCCAAGTACTTTGGGAGAATCTTGGTCTCCTGAATGGCCTGATGAATGCATTAAAATCAAGCAGTGTATTTGTATTCCATAAATACTCTTAAATCCATACAAATGTTGTATGGGCTGTGGAGCTCAGATTTCTCCTACTGGCACAATGACATTTGAAGAGTATTTGTTACGAAAGTTTTACACCAATTTTGTTCTGTTCCTTCTTCATTAGCCTCTGTGCTTCCTTTTCCATTTTCTTCCTTTGTTGTTCTGCTGCTCTCTTTTCTCTGTCTGCTATTTTTTGCTGCCTGAAAATTTTAGAAAATACAAAATGGGTAAAATGGCAAATAAAGCTTCAAGAAGGAGTGCCATGTCATGCACAATGGTAAGCCCATCAGAACAAGACATTTTTTTTTTTACTAGAAGACCTTTTAAAAGCAAGAAAGGTATGGAATAATGTATTTATTTGAAGCACTGCAAGCAAATAACTGCCAACCTAGATTAATCTACTTTACAAAGCTCCAATAACTGAAGGACGCAGAAAAACCTTCCCTGATAAATAAAAGCTGGAGCAATTTATGACTACTAAGCCAGCACCACAGAAGATACTCAAAGAAAACCTGCACATAGAAAATATAAAACATAAAAATATAACCATGAAAACAGAAGAAAAAATAAGCCCCATCAGATAAGCACATAATCAAAAGAAGAGTAGGAAAGAGCCAAACACTACATGAACAGTAACATGACAGGGTAATAGCACTGAACATTAATGATCTAAATTCTCCAAATACTACCGGGGAGGCAAAGAATTATGGACCCTGAGGATATCAAGATCATAGTTTGAAGTCAGCCAAGGCAAAAAGTGAGACCACATCTAAACAAATAAACTAGACAAGGTAGCATATACCTGCAACCAATCTACACAGGAAGCAAAGGTAAGAAGATTGTAGTTCTAGATTAGTCGGGCAAAGTATGAGATCCTATTATAAAAACAGTAACTTAGCTGGATGCCGGTGGCTCATGCCTACCTATAATCCTAGCTATTCAAGAGACTGAGATCTGAGGACCAAGTTTGAAGCTAGCCCAGGCAGAAAACCCCCAGTGAGACTCTTATCTACAATAAACCACTCAAAAACCAGATGTGGCACTGTGGCTCAAGTGGTAGAGTGCTATAGCCTCGAACAGAAAGAGGCTCAGAGACAGTGCCCAGGCTCTGTTCAAGTCCCACAGCTGACCAAAAAACAAAACAAAAAACAAAGCAAAAAAAAACCCCTAAAGCATTCATGACTCAAGTGGCAGAATGCTTAGTACAAAGTCTTGAATTCAAAACCCAGTACCAACAACAAAAAAAGGTGAGGGAAAAATCTTTTGTGAACAACTGAATTACTGACCCAAAACTCACAACTTTAGTGGTATATTTTAAAATATGAACCCCTTCCTCCTTCAAAAAACACAAAACAAAAATGCTGAAAAAGAAGCCCAAAACAAGAACTGATTATCAGCAAGAACTTTCAACTAACTGCACCCTCTGCTGGTTATTCAAGGTAATTTTAAATTATGGATACTAAAAGACAATGAATTCAGTTCTTAAGGTGGTCAGGTGAAAGGTACTTTATTTTCTAGCCTCTTAAGATGGTCAGGTGAAAGGTATTTTATTTTCTATCCCTATGTTAAAAACAATTTTATTTTAAACCACAAAAAACTGTTATCATTGTATTTTAGTGTAAAATGCATGAATTCAATACATTTTTTTTTTTTGGGTCCGGTCCTGGAGCCTGAACTCTGGGCCTGGGTGCTGTCCCTCAGCTCTTCAGCTCAAGGCTAGCACTCTACCACTTGAGCCACAGTGCCACTTCTGGCTTTTTTCTTTTTGCTTATGTGGTGCTGAGGAATTGAACCCAGGGCCTCAGGCATGCAAGCCAAGTGCTCTACCACTGAGCCACCTTCCCAGCCCTCAATACATTTTAAATGTGAGTTTTCATCAGTAATCATAGTTATAAGCTATCCTTTAAATTAAATTTTGTTCTTACTTCTGACCTAATGTCTTAAGTAACAAGAACGGAATTTATTGCTAACATAAAGGAGGACAACAATCAAAAATGAACTTTAGAAAGCTGCAGAATGTCAAGCACTAGTGGCTCATGCCTATAATCCTAGCTACTCAGGAAGCTGAGATAATGAGGAATGCAATTCAAAGACAGCCCACGTAGGAAAGTCTCTCTGACTTTTACCTCCAATTAGGTGCCAAAAAACAACCCTATAAGTGGCATCCAGGTCCTGAGTTAGAGCTCCAGGATACACGGACGGATACACACACACACACAAAGAACAAGCTGCAGAATAATATTGACTTTTCTGTAGAATAACTAGTTTATGACTTATCTATTTCAAATTTGGCTAATTTGGCTATTCCTAGAGATATTAGTGTTACATTAGTTATTTTCATTCAGATATGTAGTGCTGGGCAATATCCTCAGTCATGAGGAACTAAAAACAGTTGTAACTGCTGATCTGGAAGGGTATGTAGTGGTGGTTCTTTTATTATTAAAATATGCAGCCTGAAATGCAGAGCAAATCCAAATTTTCTAAGGTTCAAATGATAAGAAAGATCTTTGGCAGAAGACACTTCCTTGACCTTCAACATTACTGGGAACAAATCTAGTTCTTCTACTCAAGTGGCAATGTAAATAACACTCAAATACCTCAGAACTTCTTCTGCTTGCCAGGCTGCATCTTCCTCCTCTTCCCATGCATTAGTATTTTCTTGCCAAGTGTCTAAGTCACCCAATTCAGACTGTAGTGAAAAAAAAAGCAAAATTAACAAGGAAACTCAGAATCTGTCACTCTACCCTGGTATCTCAGCTTCCAAACCAAGTGAGGTACAAGTGGCTGTGCTCCAGTTTGCCTAGAATTGAAGGTTTCCAGACAATATTATGATGCATGACTTTCAGAGGTGTAACCAAGACCTAGGCAAATCCAGTTTTCCTCGTGTTTTATACTTAATTTTCTGCTTTTGCTTACTTAGTTTGGAAGAAACAATAGAGCATTTCTTCTTTCTGCCTCTCTCTTCAGTAAGAGGTAAAAAAGAAAAAGAGAGAAAAAAGACTGCTCCCAGATAATCAGAAATGCTTGACTGGACTAAGGTATGCTGAGAGTTTCCAAATGAATACACTCATCTTCATTTAAGCATACTTAATTCATAGACTTTTTTTCTTTTTTTGGTTGTGGGGCTTGAACTCTGGGCCTGGGTGCTGTCACTCAGCTCTTCAGCTCAGGGTGACTGACCACTCTACGACTTGAGCCACAGAGCCATTTCCATAATTCATAGATATTTTTCCACTGATACTTCCTGTTTCCATCCTATTTCCACCCAGTAAATGAGCAAAATTCATCTTTACTGAAATGCTTTTACCTCATACCTCCTTATCCTGTTCCCTAAGTTGTCACTGGATCAGTTACTGCTTCCCATTACTGCCCAGGTCAGACCACTAATAGTGCTCTTCTTCCCTGTTTCACTGTAAATGGTCATTCTAGCATGTCTATGTAGATATGGAATTGACAGTGTGTAAAATTATGAAAGAATTCTTTTTAAAAATTTATTTTGTTATTATACAGGTGATGAACAGAAGGCTTACTGTTTTATAAACAGACTTCTTCTAATGTTAAAATAATTGAGTTTTCTTCCTGACTGCAATTAATATATGCCTTGTTAGTACTTCTAATGATTTGATTAATATGTATTCCCAAAGGTAGAGCAGGTAAGTCAGAAGGTGCACTTTTAAAAAGTACTGAAATAAAGTATTATGACTCTTAAAAAGTTGACACACTTATTGTCTCCACAACAGCAGAAGTCTTTTCCTGTACGTCCATCAGCACTGATCATGGCCTTCTTTTCTATCTTTGCTATTCAAGAGAGCTTTAGATGTAGTGTTTCATTACTTTACTTTGAATTTCTTTAAAACCTTAACATATAATTTTTCTTCATGCTATTAGGTTATGTCTGTTTTTCTTTTTGTGAAATAAATTTCCATTCTTAAAATTTACCCATTTTCCACTGAAATATGACTGAACATAAAACATTTAGATATAAAAAGTTAAAGTATTCAGACCACCAAAAAAGGAAATAACTTTAGTAAAGATGACCTTTTAAGAAAAAAAAAGCTAGAAAGTATTAAGACAGAAAAATTTAGTTACATAAAAAAGTACATCTATCCACCCATCAAAAGCATCCAAAGTTAACAACTTGAAAAAGTGACAATGACAGAAAAAAAGTGAATAGCCTTAGTGCAAACAATTCTTATAGCACAAATGATGAATCTCAGGAGAAAATGGCATGTTTAGTTTAAAAGAAGAATGTAATTTACTGAATGAATGGTAATTCATAAATTGGTGCAGTGAGCAAGTTCACTGGTTTACTCTTCTTTCTCACATAATCAGTGTTCCTTTATACTTTGTCTGAGGGGAAAAGTAATAAAAATAGTATAGAAATGTTCTCCATCTGCCCATCAATCCCAACCCAACTCTGTGAGTGGCTATATATTTAAAATAAATGATATTAGAACTCTAATAACATAATGTGATAAATATTAAAAATCTTCTAGGTAGAACTGAACCACATGAATATGGATTAAATTGATATGAATAAAGTTTAAAATTAAGAAATGTAAAAGATTATTGTTGTTCGGAAAAACATCTAGAATGCTGTGATGTTATGTTCTCATTGCACTATATAATTGAAAAGTAATAATCAAAGTTTATAATTACATTTTTGTGTATCATTTATTTAATATTGTCTCCTCCCAATAAACTCTACTTCCCTTTCCATCTCACTCTTTTTTCTCTCATTATCTGATCACTTCTAAGTGATGACATGAGAAAATTCAAGCAGCCCTATAAAAAGCCTTATAAAAAGGTACATGGAGCTGGGCGCTAGTGGCTCATACCTGTAATACTAGCTACTTAGGAGGCTGAGATCTGAGGATCAAGGTTCAAAGCCAGAAGTAGCGCTGTGGCTCAAGTGGCAGAGTGCTAGCCTTGAGCTGAAGAGCTCAGGGACAGTTCCCAGGCCCAGAGTTGAAGACCTACAATCACCACCACCACCACCAAAAAAGGTACATGGAAACAAAGTGTAGCTCTGTGTGTGCAACCTTTTTTTTTTTTTGTTCAGTCGTGGGACTTGAACTCTGGGCTTGGGCGCTGTCCCTGTGTTCTTTAGCTCAAGGCGAGCATTCTACCGCTTAAGCCACAGTGCCACTTCCTGTTTTCTAGTGGTTTGTATTGGAGATAAGAGTCTCATGGACTTTCCTTCCTGGGCTGGCTTTGAACCTTGATCCTCAGATCTCAGCCTCCAGAGTAGTTAGGATTATAGGCATGAGCCAAAGGCGCCCAGCCAAACCTTTAAAGAGAAAGAGCCACCTTTAAAACAATTCCTCCAAGCACAATCAAGAGTAGACTACTGCCCTATCCTAGTGTTTGCATACACAATAGGAACCCTGAACTAGAACCACCCAGTCTAGTTGACCTTTTGGTCGGTTCCTGATTAAATAAATACTTATTACTTAAAATCATTAAACTTGGAGTTGGTATAGAACACAGATAGAAGAGGCCTAGATAGGTATTTATAGGGTTTTTGCCCTTGGTGCAAGTCCTAGGGCTTGAACAAAGAACCTGGGCACTTTCCTTGAGCATTTTTTTGTTCAAGGCTAGCATTCTACCACAGCTCCATTTCTGATGTCTTGGTGGTTAATTGGAAATAAAAATCTCACAGACGTTCCTACTCTGGCTGGATTTGAACTGTGATCCTCAGATCTCTGCCTCTTTAGTAGCTAGGATTAGAGGCATGAGTCATAAGTGCCTGGTTGGTACTTGTGTTTTAAAGCAAATTCTGACATGGCTCCAAGGTTGTAAATTCAAGCTGTGTAATTTCTGTATGATTTTTCCTTTAAAAAGTTTAATTTAATGTTGAGCCAGGCTCACACCTACAATCCCAGATGCTTGGGAGGGATAGCTAGGAGGATTGTGGTCTGAAGTAAGTCTAGACAAAAAAAGCTTAGTATCCTATCAGAAAAATAACTAAAGCAAAAAAGGGTCAGAAATATGGCTCAAATGATTTTAGAGTACTTGCCTAGCAAAGGTAAGACCCAAAGTTTGAACCCTAGAACTTAAATCAATCAATCTTAAATAAAATCACACTTATATTCCATGTGTGAAACAAACAATAATTCACTTAAAACTTACCTGCTATTAAAGCTAAGTCATTTTAGGTATAATCATATCAAGTTTTCATTTCTGAGTAACACATTTTCTCTACCTTTCACACGCATAATGAGACTCTTATCTCACTCAGTATGTGACATAATTTGCAACTTCATAAAAATGTTAGGATTGGATAAAACTGTGCTCAATTTCTTGAACTGCTAAAACTATTTCAAAGTCAAAGTAGTTTAAAGATGAAGTCTAATTCATAGTTATTTTTCTCTTCCATAAAGAAAACAGAAATAAAACGTTAGGTTTTTTTCCTACACTCTGTAATGTACTTACCGACTGATGAATAAAAGGCATATCTTGTGTAGCTGCTAGTCTACTGGAGAAACCTGTGCTACCATCTGGGATGCCAAAATTTAACGGTTCTCTCTTCTTAATAACAATCTGAAAGATTAGAATTGAAAGGATATTTTACACAAAACTACATAAAACAGACAAATTATTGATTAATGTATTTTGTTAGTGCTTAAAACATGCTGTCTTCTTTTTAAATGTGTATCAAACAAATAGTAACAATCTGTTGAGTACTAAAATTCCTAGCCAATTGTTTAAACAAATGACTCTTTTTTTTTTGGGGTCCGGTCATGGGGTCTGAACTCTGGGTCTGGGCGCTGTCCCTCAGCTCTTCAGCTCAAAGCTAGCACTCTACCACTTGAGCCACAGCGCCACTTCCGGATTTTTTTTCTTTTTGTTTATATGGTGCTGAGAAATCGAACCCAGGGCCTCATGCATGCAAGGCAAGCGCTCTACCACTGAGCTATCTTCCCAGCCCCAAACAAATGATTCTTATAGCAAGAAAAATTATATCTCACTTAAACTGTTATTTTTTAATCTATTTATATAATTATCTTTATAATTATCTTTAGCTACTGAATTAAGCAATAACATGTTCATCTTGACAAAAGTAGAATTACCCACCACAGCATGTATTGATATATTCATATATTAACTCAGGCATAGTATAAGAATATATTTACTTGAAATTTTATAACTTTAAAAGCACTTCCACACTAATTAATTTAGCAAAGCACTATTACAGTACATTAAGTTCCTAGGAAGAACAGCGATATATTTCCACAACATAAGTTATTCATCTAATAAGACAACCTAAAAGATCCTTGAAAATATGTAATTTAATCCTTTTCAGTACTTAAATATTTGGATGATACAACAGAACAGGACCTAAATGTTTTCTACCTAAATAACACAAAAATAAACAGACAGTTGAAGCTGGTTAGGAAGATGCAGAATAAATAACACTCTCATTTTATAAAGTATACAATGTTTGAACCAAACATTTTTTATATTTAAATGAATAACAAATGAAACATTGCTTTTCTAAAACAGAGGATATTGTAATAACATTACTATATTTGAAGGAGCTGGAACAGAGGTAAGGTAGTAAGAAATAAATCTTCATTTACCATAACTTAGTGTTAATAAACATTATCTATGATGGGCAAATCAGGAAATATGTTTATTATGATTAATGATGATATAACTGATGATCATTAGTAAAAGCTGAAATAGTAAAAGTTGTTGTATGGTTGTTTCTGGAAAGTAGAATTGGCTAGAAAGAGTGATGGGAGAGAAGTCTGTCAAACTTCATTCTAAACCTCTCCTTTAATTAAAAAAAAAAAAAGTACACTGCTAGGAGCCAGTGGCTCATGCCTATAATTCTAGCTACTTGGGAGCCTGACAATGCTAAGATCACCATTCAGGGCCAGCCTAGGCAAAACAGTTCACAAGATCCCTTCCTTCTCAATCTATATAGGCAGGCACAGTGGTATGCATCTGTCCTCCAAAACTGAGGGAAGCTAAGACTAGGAGGATCAAGGTGCCAGAAGCCCAGGCAGAAAATTCCATCTCCATTGCAGGGAAGCTGGATGCAGTGGCCTGAACCTATAATCCCAGATACAACAGGAAGTCTGAAGTAGGCATATGGCAGCCCAGGCACAAACCTAATGGGAAGCAAGACATTATTGTAAAAATAACCAGTGAAAAACTGGGCTGAAGGCATGGCTCAGTAGTACTGAACTAGCCTAGCAAATAGAATACCTTGAATTCAAAACTGAAAAAAAATCACATGTATAATTTTCATATAAGGAAGAGATACTATTGGATACTGGACTTTATCCAGTAATTCTCTACATCTTCCATATTCAACTCAGAAGAGATTAAATAAAGTATGTATGACTATCAAAACCATAATAATTACTCTAAGACCTGAGAGCCCAGGAAGCTCTTTGTTGTATGAGTACTTATTCGAACTGTTACTTATTCAACCTATTCTCCTATAGCAGAGACTAGAGTCCAGCATCTGAGAGACAGCAGAATTCCAATAAATGCTTATAGTACTAAAAGACTTGGGAAAATAATTTATTAGATGTATTTAAGGCATCAGAATATATGAAATTCTTATATAAAATGACAAAAATAATTATTAGTGATAATTGGAAGGAGGCCAATGAATACTTCTTATATTGTCTTAATTTTAATTAAAGGAAGTTGAAGTCTTCCAAACCACAAATCTTTAATAACATACTTTCTGAGTTTTCCTTATAGTTGGTGTCATGTCCTTAAAATAGTCAGGTTCCAGTTGTTCCAAAGCATTTTGTTGTGATGCCACATTGCCATTCCCTCCTTCAATCTTTACACTTGTGGGTGCATCTTCATCCCAGGAGGTCCACTCCTCTACATCTGTCTATGTGATTAAGATTATCAACAAAAAAGGAGAAAGAGACTTAATAAACATCTCATTAATCCATTATTAGAAAACTAGACTTTTAAGAACATGTTTTCAAACTTTTTACCCACAGAAAAATAGGTATTTCAAATCACAAACTAAATCAAAGGTTTAAAAAACAAACTTGTACTGTGGGCTAGACATTATGACATTATTATTCTGTTCTCTTTTGTTTTGTTCTATTCATTTTTTTCCTTAAGTAAAACAAAAGTATATGCTTCGAAAAGTAAACTAACATTACAATTTTAATGCATAGAAGGAAGGCTGGAATTCATCCAAGTCAAATCAAACTGATGATCTGATTAAAAAAAAAATTATCCAAAAGACTGAGTCTCAGAAAATAGTATCTAAAAGGTTTATGAAACAATTAAAAAGTAATTATTCAGTATCTATGGAAACAATACATCTTAATTTGCATGTAAAGTTCATTTCTATAGAACAACTTGAACATGATATAAAGGTTAGAATTACCTTGCCTAAGACTTTAAGACAAAAATGTTTCAAAAAATAATAGGAAACACTTGAAACCACTCAAAAATATAAAATATCATCAATGAAATAGCAGATAAAATGAAGACTCAGAGAGGTTTTAGAACTTAAAAAATGTAAGAAAAGCAACAAAATTCTGAGGGCCAAATTAATTTTATGACTAATAATATATAATCAGTTTGAAAAATAATATACTGGAATAGTTTGGAATTTTTCCAAATGATTGAAAATTCTCAAAACTTACCTGCTTTGGAACTGAAGAATAATCAACTGTAGTTGGCAAAGTTATTTGGTCTCCACTTAATTTTCTTCCTCTGCCAGACCTAATATAAACATTGGAGAAAAAAAAAACCCACCCAAACAAACATGAATGAAAAGCATTATGGACAGCAATTAAAGTTTTATATAACAAGATCTTTCAATTTTACAATTATTGTAAAATATTTCATGAAGCTATTATGAAGAGATTTCAAATCAAGATACCTTGTTTTGGGTGAGGACTCAGAACAGACAAGAACATAACTGCAAAGTAGTTTGAAACCATGCTCCCTGGGAGTGCTTTGGTTTCTAAAGCTCTGGGTCAGCCATGCTATTTTAAATATGGTAGCTCAGACTTTTATGTCTAACAATAAATTTCATGGTAAAATTAACTGCCAAATTGGATTGAACTAAACTGTATTGAGATCTAAGAATTAGTATGAGAAAGACTACATTAGTTAGGATGTACTGTTACATCAGTTAATAATGTGAGATACGGAATCTATTTAAATCATGGATTTCAATGTCACATCTACTGAATCCAGTTAGAATCACAACTTTAATATCTTTGTTATAATGCATATATTCTACTTAAGGCTCTTGTGAACAGTTAATTAAGAGACATAGTTAAGTATGTAGAGTTTGATACATAATGAAGTCTTGGAAAGATGATAGCTATTAGAAATGAATAGTCATTTACCTCAGTTCAAGAATTATAAAGCATTTATTGTTAATTGGTAAAGTCAGTTATTTTTATTATACATTTAGAAGTTATGTTTTCTTTAAAAGATAAATATAGAAATATTTTCATGTTTAAATTAGATTGCATTTGTTATATAAGGAGCCTACTACAAAATTTACTTTAAAACACATAATTCAGGTTCTTTATGACACTGAAGTTTGTCCTAATGTAAGGTTGATGTTCTTTAAAACAACATGTAATCACTCCTAACTATATTTACATTGACCACAGAAATTTATAAAAACAACAAAAAGGTCCTTTATATTTGTTAACTCATATGCAATTTCCATTGTAAAGCTGACCTGTATTGAACAGCATTTTAGAAAATATAGATGGAAGAAGAAAACAGCTATTATTTATTACTGTTAACATAATGCTTCTTTTAATCTTTTGCTTTCTGGCAATTAACACTCACTCTTATTGCAGTGAACTTCTGGCCATTCCTCTTCATTCTCTATGATCTAAACAATCAATTCATTGTTGTTGGGTTTGTTTTTTTTTACACTCTCAATCCTGTCTTCGTGGGTTATTTAAACAGCCTGTCACCAAATTTTTCCATTTCTTTCTTCTCTCCCAATGATCATTTCAATTCTACTTCATATACCTATTCCCAATGAAAGAGCCTAGATCTTAACCACAAAAATCCCAAACCACTGTATTTTTAGCAATAAGCCCCATGGCACTTTATTCTACTTTAGTTTTGTCAGTATATGTTTCACAGTACTTTTCAGTCAAAACAAATACCTCACAGTTCTATTGATGAAACAGTCCCAAATAACATATATATGACTGCTTAGTAGCCATGTGGAAAACAAAGTAATTATCTTTATATTAAATGTCTTACTAACAAAAGGTGTATACCTGAGGCAAAATGTATTGATAGCTTCTTAAACTCTGGAATTGGAAACTGCAGACCTCATTTTCCATCCCACTTTAATTTTTGGGTAGTACTTGCTTTTGATTGTGCCCATTCTAATTTTTCAAATACATCATCAAAAATACAAAGACACAAAAACTTTTTCAAGCATTAGAAACATCCATCATGAGGAATGTTATCAAATCTACTGTTGGAAATATGAATAGAGAATTTATTTACCTGCATATTAATCTCTTTAGGAATGAGAATACTGTTGCTAAGCAGGTACAAACTTTAAATAGCCGAAACTGAGTGATGGCCATGGTGGGAATCAAAACCTGTGGAAAAAGTATACACAAAGCATCACTCAACTGATTCCACAAGCCATCTTCCTGTCATTGAAAATAATTGGTCATTTTTGTTTTTCTCTAGAAACCACAAATACTTTACTAAAACCCAAACCATAAAAACTAGGTTTTTGAAGCATTTTAATAGTGAAGAAACTCTTCATGTTGAGTTGTTTAGAAAAAATGTTCTGCTTAGCTACTCAACAGGCTGAGATGTGATGGTCATGGTTTGAAGCCAGACCCAGCAGAAAAGTCCATGAGATTCTTAGCTCCATACAATTAACCACCAAAATGCTGGAAGTGGTACCATGGCTCAAATGGTAGAGCATTAGCTTTGAGCGAAAAAGGCCAGGGACAGCACTCTCACCAAGAGTTCGAACCCTAAGGACCAGCACCAAAAATAAATAAATAAAAGCCAGCTTGGATAGGAAAGTCCTTGAGACTCTTATCTCCAAATAGCCACCAGAAAACTGGAAGTGGCACTGTGGTTCAAATAGTAGAGCACTTGCCTTGAGCTGAATAGCTGAGGGATAGAGCCCAGGCCCAGAGTTCAAGCCTCATGACCAAAAAACAAAAAAGGTATATATAAGAAAATATAATATAGACCCATGACCCAAAAAAAGTATAAGAAAATATAATATAGTTTTTTGAAGTATGAAACATATGACCATGGTTCTATTAATTAAATGTAAATAATGTTAACATTTATTTTTTTATAATGTAACATTTATAAAGCTAGATTTTATTATTCCCATTTTATAGATGGAGAAAGTCAATGAGGAAGATATGTTGTGCAAAGTAATGAATTAAAACTAATCAGAGAATATATCAAGTCCGATAATTTACAAATCTGAGGAAATACTGGCAAGTAGGCATAATTTTACTGAGTCAATTAAGTCATATTTGATAAAGGATCTAGCCAATTAGCTAACAAAGAAGATGAAAATGCTCATTAGTAGAGGAAGCAGAAAACAAAGAAAGGAGGAAGAACAATGGATAAACTGAAAATAAACTGCAGGATGAGACTTAGCCTAATCATCATAGTAACCACAATAAATGCAAATTGCTTCAACTAATAAAAAGGCAGGTATTATTAGACTGGTTAAAAGAAAAACTATATGCTGCCTAAAATAATACATTTTAAACATTAAGTTACAAATAAAAGGATAGAGAAAATACACTTATGCTTAAATGAATAAAAAGAAAGTTAATGTATCAGACATTTCAATGTCAGATATGTTAGGAAAATATTACTAAGAAAAAAAAGCAATCATTTCACAATGATAGAGGGGTCAATTAACTGAACATACCTAATAACACAAAATATACATAAAAATTTTTGCCAGTTATCATAAATGAAGGAGGTGGTATATATACTGAAAAAATAAACATTGTAAGCAACTTTATACCTATTTCACTTTATATAAGGAGATAAAACAGGCAAATTCTCTGGTAGACAAAAGTTCTCAAAGTACAATAAGAAGAGATAACTTAAATCTCTATTAAAGAGATTGTGTGTCTAAAAATTTTCCCAGCCCAAGTGGCTTTACTGCTGAATTCTACCCAACACTTGGGGATTCTACTGAACATTTGGGAATACTAATTTTATACAAACCATTAAAGACCTGGAAAAAAGGGAATATTTCTCATCTTACTATTCGATGCCAACATTACACTGAAACAAACTCAGACAAATGTATTATTCCTTCCCCTCAAGAAACAATTCTAGAAGATACCATCTTAAGGATATAGCAATAAGACGCCTTAAAATATTAGTAAGTTAAATCCAGTTGTGGACTTCAAATAAGTGCAATTTATTCTATCTCAAAAAGCTGTTAAAACAAGCCAGGTGCTGGTGGCTCCTGACTATAATCCTAGCTACTCAGGAGGGTTAAGATCTAAGGAGTGGGATTCAAAGCCAGCCTGGGCAGCAAACTGTGAGACTCATCTCCAATTAACCACCAAATAAAGGCCAATGAAGCTGTAGCTCAAGTGGTAGAACACTTAAGCATAAAAGCTCCAGGACAGTGTCCAGAACTGGTGCAAGCATGCGCGCGCGTGCACACACACAAAGCTGTCAAAACAATGTATATTGAGACATTCTTAAATAATCTTGTCATTTAGAAATTTTTTGATTATAATTTAAATTTTAATAGATGTCATTAACACCATCATCAATACTATATTATTTTTTTTTTCTGGATAGCCAATTATCATTAGGAAAGTAGGGCAAATAGTAACAAAAACAACAGATATACCTCAATATATTGTAAAAGCTAATTCTTTTTATAAACATTCTTGGTTAATGCCTTCTATATAGTAACTCATTTAATATCTACAATGTCTCTGTGAAGAACTTAAATCATATTCTATTCCAAATTTAGATAGTGAAACAGAGATAATAGGAAGGTAAATAAACTGATCACACATAGAATTGATATTTCATTTTATTTACATATTTTTGTGTGTGCTGCTCTTGGGCTTAAACTCAGGGCCTGGTCATTATCCCTGAGCTTTATTGCTCAAAACTAGTGTTTTACCACTTGAGCCACAGCTTTACTTCCAGCTTTTTGGTGATTTAATCAGAGATAAGAGTATCAGAGACTTTCCTGCCTGGGCTGGCTTTGAACTATAAGCCTCAAATCTTAGCCTCCTGAGTAGACAGGATTACAAGTGTGAACACTGGCACCCAGCAATGTTTTTGCAATTTAAGTACAGAGAGAATATCTACAGTATCTCAGTCCTTAAAAATTACACTCATACATGCCTTCCTATGGTCTAAAGAGATATTTCCATATTTTAAAAATGTTACTGAGGGCTAAAGCCAAATAGAAACTGAGGACTAATTATTACCTTTTTAAAAATGCTCATTATTTCCAAACATATACATATTACCTTAATAGATACATGTAATGCTACATATACATATACATGTTATACATATTCGTGCTACCTTAATAGTTACAATTAAGTAAAAAATAGCTGCAGAACAAGGGAAATTAAAATTTGTAAATCTATGAGATTGTCATTTCCCCTTACTGAGATAGAGATTATATGTTAAACTAAGTTGCAAGAAATACAGAGGTACACACGTACACATGTGCGTGCGCACACACACACACAAACACACACACCATGATTTTCTGATGAAAGAATTTCAAGTCTGAGCTTCTTGCATTTTACTTGTCAATGAGGGATCACTGAGTAAGCATTTAGAATCATACAGCTGCTGTATTGGAGTAACATGATCCAATTTCTTACTTTTCTAAATGCAGAAGATGACAAACTGAAGTTAACTGTTTTATTCAATGAGTAGTGGTCTAATAACAAAACTTACAATGAGCCAGGTACAGGTGGCTCTGCAATCCTACTCAGGAAGCCTCTGCTTCTCAGAGGATTGTGGTTCAAAGCAGGCCTGGGCAGGAAAAGTCCATGAAATTCTTATCTCCAATTAACCATGAAAAAGCCAGAAGTGGACCAGTGGTTCAAGTGGTAGAGCACTACCCTTGAGTAAAAAAGCTCAGAACACCACCTAGGCCCTTTGTTCAAGTCCCAGGACAGGCACAAACAACAACAACCACAACAAAATAACCTCACAAAGAAAACATACTGGCCTCACAGTCTCTTGTCAACAACTTTAGAAGCAATTACTTGTGTTTTGGAACATTTTTTCCAAACATGTTAACTATGCCTAAAATACAGTTGCATACATATTTACTTAAAAGGGAATGAGATACAATTTCAGTAGTAACTACATTAAAGAAAAAATATTCTTTTTCAAAAGTGAAACTTTATTTTTGTGAGGTTACCATTTGAGATAAATAGTAACATTTGTAACTATAACAAAAAAATTAAAACTATTCTGGACAGACTGGACATGGTGGAATACACCTATTCAAATCCTACCTATTCAAAGATTGGAGACTGAAAACTCATAGTCTGAAGACAACACAGGTAAAAAAATAGTGAAACTAAAATATTCCTTGATATGTTAACATATTAATATATTCACAAAATAGTTAATAGCTATATGGGAGATAAAGCCTGTTCAGGCAAAAAACCCCCACTAAACTGTAAACAACAACAACAAAAACAAACAAAAAAACAATTGAAGCACCAGAGCTGAAGATGTGATTCAAATAGTAGCATACCTGCTTACTGAGTAAACACAAGCCACTAATTTCAAATACTATACCACCAAAGGGAAAAAAAATAGCAATAAAAATAAATCAACTTCCAAGAAAAATACATCATCCTTACTAATAGTAACATGCTGTTAAATTTCATGGGAATTAAAGCAGAGAATACCTGTTTTGATTTTAATTAATAGATACAAATTCAGCATCTCTAATGTAAAATATGAATGAGTGTCACAAGTAAAATTTCATGTATGAAATTTTAAATTAAATATATTGTTTAAATTTACTATAGGTGTATATGAAATGAATGATTTTCGTCCTTAGTGTAGAACCTATTCTCAAGATGTCTCTTTGTGTAAATGTAAATATTCTAAGACTCTAAAAAGAGCTAATCTGATATTTTAAATACTTCTGATGGAAATTTTTTGAAAATGGGATACTCAATCTTTTTAAAAAATAGTATGTCTTGAATATAGCTTATTTTACAATTTTTGCAATGAATCCAATGAAATTACACTGAGCAGATTTCAAGTTAAACATTAAATGGTCACCTCTGATGGAAAGAGAAGGAAACATTAGGAAACTAAAATCTTATCTTCATCTGGATGGTAGCAATATCATACACTCTAATTGTAAATATTGTATATATAATACTTCAACATTAAAGTTCAAAGTTATATACAACCAACAAACCAGAAAGCACGGAAAATATACTTAAATGTACTTAGTAAAGCCACTGTGCATATGGATAAAGAGTACCACTGTGCATATGAACAAAGGAGTTGAAGAGGAGTTGAATGATTTACTAAATGTCTATGCCTCGAGATGATATACTTATTGAGAGGATAGAAAGAGTAACATTGAAAGAAAATGAAAGAAAAAAATACTGAAAATACATTTCACTATTCAATTGATATATCTTCAATTGTTTTATTCCAGTTCAAAAAGTGCAACAATACTTATATCCAAACTGCCAAAAAGATTTTTCAATTTCCCAAGGCTTCTCATTGCTTTCCAATATGCACTGCAATCTGCCTGGTTGCAAGCCTTTGTCTCTTGCTAATGCTAAGTCTTTTTAATTCTAGTATTCCCTTACTGAGAAACTTACATCTTCAATTTTGTAATACAGTTATTTCCATGTACAATAATTACCCTGAAGATATTTCCCCAGAGGATTTTGTTCACTTAGTACGTTCAGTTACCCTTTGCAAAGACTTGAAAGGTGTGATTGTTTCATTACAAAATGAGCTGAACAACTCAAATGGCAAGTTAAGAGGTTTATTTCATGCTGGTTATCAAGAACCTAAAGAAAAGCAAAACTCCCTCCAAAAAAAATTTAGCATACTTTTCAGAACCTATACAAAAAATAGCTAGAAGACTTACAGCATGTGAAACTGGTGACTCTTTTTTTTTTTTTTGAAAAGCATCCATTTAATATTTAGGGAATAGACGGGTCAATCTCAAGATATATATGAATAAAAATTAGCAAAAAACTTCACACAAAAACTTGGTAACCACAGCTATCACTTTCCCACAAATATTTTTAGTGCCATTATTCAATATATAGTTATCATTCTGAATGACTATAATAGTGTCTGAAAATAAAATTTCAAGCATTTTTTCCAATACAGTAACAAAGACATATTATTGATGACAGAACAAAACCCTCTTCCTTAGCAATTAAGAGTATTTCCATTCTGTAATTTGCTTTTGTGATCAAAGAAAGAGAACTAATATTTACTTATCATCTACGATGTACCAAGCAATATAGAGTAGCTCACTTATCCCACAGCACCACCTTATGGGGTAATTTCTGTCATCCTTTCACAGAATTGAAGCAGAGTAAAGGACATGCTCCCATGGTCCTCTACTCATGTATTTGGATTCGAACCAAGAATTCAAAAACCAAGAACAACTTACTAATAATGAACATTCTTAGTAATTCAACGGAGATATTATAATCTTGAAGAAAGAATTTCCAACTGATAGCACTGAAGGGGAAATATGATTAGACTATCAAGTAACATCTGATTCTTATCAGTTGTACTATTTTACAGGAATAAACTTCAGACCTGTATTTACTTAAATGTTCTATTCAAAGTATAATTCAGTATTATTGAGTAAAACCTAGACCCACTATGTAATGAACACTACAGTATGTACTGGGAAGTACTTCCCAACACTTTTAATGGTACACAGAAACCTTGCCTGAGCCACTCAATTGTGAGGAGTTTCTTCCTACACTTGGTCTACCAGAATGTAAGTCCATAACTCAGTTTGTTGTCTCCAGATCTCAGCCAATGCCGGGGACATAGGTGGAATGAAAATACTTCTTGAATTAATATTCCTTGATCTCTTGATATGTTCATGACATAGTTCAATAGTTTTCACTATCCCCACTTAACAGATGATACCCCGAATTGGCTTTATGAGTGAATCACTCAAACAGGATCTTGAAGAGACTGGTCTCAATCGAGCCTTACACTCTTTCTTTATCATATTCCACTTGAGAAACCTTCAAATGCTTTACTGTGATTGTTTAAAATACCCTGGAGGTCACCAATCTGAGACAACCTAGCACTATAAATAGTCAGGATTTTCAAATACTTTCTAGAACTAGGCAATTTAACATAGTCTAATTGTAGAGTTAGAGTTTCCTTAAAATCAGTAGGAAAATACAGCAACTTGAGGTATAGCAGACTTAGGTTCAGGACTGGGAAGCAATCTAACCCCAGGGCTTCAGAAAAAAGATATCCCTAGAAAGTGAATCGGAATGGAAGTTGTGCTTCCAATGAATACTTTCTTACAATTAAAAAAAAAAACTACCTGTATTAAAAACTGATAGCTCGAATGTACAGATCCATGGTATGACCACTCATGAAGGCGAGCCAATCTAAGGCAGCACCCTAAGGTGGCCCAGGGCCTAATGTCTACACTTTTTGAATCTTTGCATAGACCAGCATCTGGCATGCCTCTCTGATCTACTGGGGCGCAGGCTATCACCAAATACAAGTCTGTAACTCTCTGAAGTAGGCTGTCACCAAGTCCCACATTTAAGTTTTACCTGGAATTTACATGTGAAATTAAAAGGTTCGGCAGCGACGTGACAGATAAGGGGAAACAAGTGGAGTTCTGCAGGCCGGCGGTGAGCGGGAAGGAGCCGCACTGCCAAGGGCCGGGCCCGGAGACGGGGGGCTGCGTGGGGCGCGGGGCGCGCGCGGGAGAGGGCTCCGGAACGACCCAAACCAATCTCCCAAGGGAACCGAGTGTGGCTGCAGATGACCCGACCTCACATCGGTTGGTGGTAGAAACGAATCACACCCACTGCACAGATGAGAACAACAACGCGAGCGCGCCAGGTCACAGCACCCCACGCTCGCACGCGCCCCGCACGCGCCCCGCACACGGCGTCACGTGAGCCGCACCGGGTGGCTGCCCCGAGCGCCCGGTGGGCTCCGATCGGGACTGTGGACGAACCTGCCGTGAAAGGTGCGCGGCCTGGAGCGGGACGGCGGGAAGGACCGGTAAATTTCAGGATTTGGGGGTCCCCGGGCCTGCGCCCCACCAGCCCGGCCCCCTGGCGTGGCGAGGGCCGAATGGCCCCGCGCCACCCCGGGTCGCGCCTCGCTGACCCCAGAGGGCACCCTGACCCGGAAGCAGTACCCCAGAGCGGCGGTCGGCTGTTCAGGGAAGGCCCAGTGAGAGGGATGAAAAGGCAGGTAGGAAGGTGGACCGTGGGAGGCGGAGGACTGAGGTGGGGAAAGGCCGGCGTCATCCCTGAGGCTGAGGTCGGGGAAGGGGTAGGGAAGGGGGGGGAAAGCCACGCGCGAGGCGCAAGCAACGTGCACAGACTCACCTGCCCCTCCCCCTCCCCGCCCGCCCGGCGGAGGCTCCGAGCTGCCGCGGGACGCGCGCGCGCACACGAGGCGCGCGCACACGAGGCGCGCGCACGCGCCGCCAGTCGCTTCCTCGAGCTCGCGCTCGACGGCGGCGGGCTGCGTCTCAACCTCGCTCATTCAAAGCCGGGCGCGCGCTCCGTGGCAGCCGCCGTGGCAGCCGCGCAGCTGCCATAGCCGCCCCCTCGCCGGCAACTCCGCCCCCCGGGCCCTCCCGCTCCGCCCTCCTTGGAGGCGGCTCTTGGTTGTTTCCAAGGCCTTTACTTCCGCATCCCGCCCCACGTCTGGTTTGGCCCAATAGGCGAGAGCTTCCTGGTGTGACGTCAAAACTGGGCGCCAATCAGGGCCGAGAGGCGAGGCGAGCCTGGGAAGGCTGGTCGTGGCCGTTGGCGTGGAGGTGCGCCTGGGCGAGGGCCGAGCTGTCCTTTCTGTGTGTATCTTTTTAAAGTGTCCGGTGCCTTCCCGGCAGCGGAGCCCCTGACTCTTCCACCCGCAGAACCCTCTACCAGAGGGGAATAAGAGGCAACGTCTATATTGCTAGAAATACCTCCCCCGCCTCTGTCCCCTGTGGCGGGACAGGTGCCAGCCATTCTCCCCCTTGAGGGATGGTAAATGCTGTGTGTCCTTGAGAACGCAGCCCTTCCCGCCAACTTTTAATTGCGTTTTCTTACTTGGGGTTTCGAACTAACCATTCTTTCCATCTGTGTTCTTTCAGTGGTCTTCTCTGAAATCTGATTCCTATTACCCTTCCTGCTATTAAAAGGCTACCGTCCTTTGCTGTGGTGGGCACGGGATCTCTCTTACTCAAAGTGACTGATGACTATATACACCTGCTAAGACTATAAAAATTGTTTATGTAAATTGCCCCGGCCCATTCCTTTAGCTTTTTTTTAAAACTACCTTTTTCTTCACTCACCCTGACTCCCCCCACCCCACACCTATACATTTAACTTTGTAGTATTCTCCCCCACATTCCCCACTCCAATTTGCTCTATGTTTCTATTAGTAGTTTTAATTTTTTGCTTTTGTTAAGATTTCTTGCCCAGGCTTGCCTCAAACTTGGGATTCTCAGAGAACTGCGTCCAGAGTGCTGGACACCTAGCCAATAGTTTTATGTTTATCCGTGAAAAGAGACTCGTAAGTTAGGACTCCTAGAATTGTAGATAAACATGGGCACTTTCTCTGTGTGTGTGTGTGTGTATGTGTGTGTGTGTATGAGAGAGACAGAGAGAGACAGAGACAGAGACAGAAAGAGAGAGAGAGAGTATCCTGGGGCCCTGTCCCCAGGACTCAAAACACACTTTACCACTTGAGCCACAGTTCCACCTCTGGCGTTTTGGTTTTTAATTGGTGATAACACTTATCTGCCTGGTCTGGCTTTGAATGAAGTGCCTCTGATCTTAGCCTTTAGAGTTGCTAGGATTAAGGCTTGAGCCTCTGGTGCCTCTCAAACATAGATAATTTCTTAACCTAAGTTAACTTATCAGTAAATTAGTGCTTACAGACCTTTTAGTGCAGAGTTAGGCTCGTAGCAAACATCCATAGAAGCATCTCTTACCATAGTTATGACTTATAGGACTAAGACTTTTCCCCCTTCCCAAATTCAGGAAACCCTCTTCAACTTCAACACGTACTGTATTCTTTGAATGCCTAATTTCCAGTAATTAAAATTCCAATTCATTTTGAATTCTCTATATTCACTAACCCTAACCTAAGCAAGCTTTTTGTTTTTGTTGTAAGTTTATCTATACTTCAGATTATATATTATACCATATAATATGATGATTCTTTATTTTTCCTTACTAAACTTGCCATTTCCTAATTAACCAAAAGTATATACTTTTCTAGAAACATTAGTTGCTGGGTACTTGCTCCTCAACACAACAAATGGAAAGCATTAAATCTTGCCAAAGATTGCTAAAATTAGCTTATAAATATATAAGTAAATACACTGAGTAGTATGGAAGTATACACAAATGTACTAGCTGAATATGGTCGATTCGAAGGATAACTCCAATAGTGTAATTCCTTAGAAAGGGCAAAGTCAAAGTTCAGCAAAATAAACACCAGAAACAGGTATGTGAAATGGGTGGGAAAGGGTAAAGGGGAGAAAGGTAGACAATGAAGAGAAGGAGGGGAGAACACAGCCAAGAATTCAATGTGTGTCATACAAATTTAAGCCCACAGAGACAAAGGATGCGTGGTTCCCTTATATGTGGAAGCTGGATTTACAAACTTGTAAGTAAATACATTAGGTGGTATGCAAGAGTCTACAGATGTATTAACTGAAATACAGTAGATTCAAGGAACAAAAATAGTGTAATTCTTTAAAAGGGCAGAATCAAAGTTCAGCAAGTAAAATACCAGGGAGCAGACACTTGAATGAGGTGGGGTGGTGTCAAGGGGAAAATGTTAAATGAATGGAAGAGACGAGTGGGAAATGCAGTCAAGAATCCAGTGTATATCCTGCAAAATGAGCAAGAGTGAGGAAAGGGATGGGTAGAGAAGGGACATGGGTAGGAATGTTGAGAGATGACACTGATAAAGATGCAATGTATTCATAAGCTGCTTTGTTAAATGACAACTCCTTTGTACAATTGCTTAAAGAAAATAAAAAATTTTAAAAATATTTTAAACTTTAAAAATTACTTTAGAAATACCTAGAAAAGAATATTGCAAAATTGAGTGGTAACCCCATAGGTTGGGATCATAGTTGTTACTAATTTGGAATCTTGCTTGAGAACCACTTCTTGGAATCTTCAATTTTCAGTCCACTCCTCCGAAGGAACTTGATGTGGGTGGGAGAATGGGACTACCAAATGCCAAGTGGGAGGAACACAAGGAATAGAAAAATTTCTTTCTGGATTGCCTTTAATCTTTATGCACAAGCCATTCTTCCCACTTTAAGTTTCTAGTCAACGGCTGTGGGCTTCCAACCCATCACTCACCAGTTTAAAAGCCTGTGTGGTTTATTGTAAATTCTCTATCAGGGGCTTAGGTCTCTCTTGCAAACTGCTGAAAAGGTTGGAACAGACCTTGCAAACACAGGCCTGTGTTTCCAAATCATCCCAACTTGGTTGCTTACATTTTCACCAAAGTATACTTTTGTTGTGGTGTATATTTTGTTATTATTTCTCCTCAAGCACAAATTTAGACCACCTTGGGCTTTAATGGCTTTTTATTAATAAGCAGCTGTTCATGGTTGTAGATAGATCATAAAGTCACATTTATCCTACCAAGCAAAACAGAATAACATCTAAATACGTTTGAAAGCGTAGACTTTTCTGATTATAATTTTATTGTCTTTAGAGAATTTACTTGCTGTCAAAATATTAAATGTTATTCTGGAAGAGTAGAACATTTTAATATCCAATGTTTAATATCTAATATTTAATAGTAAAGGTCAATTGATTAATAAAGAAGTCAGCCATTCTAACATTTTTGATGATAATTTTACATAAGATGAAATTTTTATTGCTTAATACAGGAAGATCTAAGATTTAATAACTTTTTTTTTTTTTTTTGCCAGTCCTGAGGCTTGAACTTGGGGCCTGAACTGTTCCTGAGCTTTTGCTCAAGGCTAGTGCTGTACCACTTGGGCCAGAGATCCACCACTAATAATAATAATAATAATAACAATAATAATTCTCCTCTTTCTTTTTGGTAGTTTATTGGAGAAAGTCTCATGGACTTTCCTGCATACTCAAGCAGTCTTTGACCCAGGATCTTCAAATCTCAGCCTTCTGAGTAGCTAGGATTATAGGCGTTAGCCACTGGTGCCCAGGTTAAGGATAAAAGAGTCTTAGAAGTGAAGAAAAATAATGTTTTTTAAAAAGAGTAAAATGAAAATTCTCATCCCATCTGCAATAAAGTTTTGTATCATTACTTAGATAATTCTGCATTGTTATCAGAGTTATAGTTCAGCTATAACTTGATTTGAGCAAGATCTAGAAATCCAATATTTTTAAATGATTTTTTTTTTTTACTTTTTAAATTTAATTTTATTGTCAAGGTGATGTGCCGAGGGGTTAAAGTTACATATGTAAGGTAATGAGTACATTTCTTTTTTTCCTTAATATATATTTTTATTGTAAAGATACTGTACAGAGGGGTTACAGTTACAAAAGCAAGGTAATGAGTCTACTTCCTATCCAGCACTGTTACACCCTCCTTTATTTTTCCCCTACCATCCCTTCCTCCCTACCTCCCCAACTCCTCCCTCCCTTCCACCCCCCATGCAAAGTTTCTTTTCAACATACTGTGTTATACATCTCATTGTTACAATGGGTCATCCTGTATCCTTATTTCAGCATTTTGTTATTTCCCTTCCCCTCCCTAATTAGAAAAATGTATCATATAAATCTTATGCCTTTTAAAACTATTTCTAAAAGCAAATATGTTCAGATTCATACACTTATCATCAAACAATTACCTGATCTATAATGTATCCCTTGCCTTCTAATAGCATGGTGCATTGCAGCTGTGACCTTAAACAAGCTTATGCCTCAATTTTCTCATCTGCAGAATTAGGTTAATAATCCCTTAAGAATTTACTGTGCAAATTAATTGTCATAATGTATGCACAAATGTGTTGGGAAGACAGCAATAGCATCAATGAAAAGTTCCTGACACCCAAGTTATTATCTTCCGTGTCCAATATAT